ATCCATAAATACAGGGTATACAAAATGAATAGCAATAAAAATATATAAAAAACGACAGCTCCACGAAACGCGGCAAACAAACAGAAATCAAATCCAATTTATGCTTTTTATTTCTTATTTTTTAGTTGTTTTTTTGTTTTTTTTTAAATTTTGTTTTTTTAACCAACATTAATCATAATTTTGGGCTCCACTCGGCGAGCGTGAAATAATTTTTATGCGCCGTTTTTACGGAACGAACCCAAAATCCGAACGTTCCGAAAAGGTGTCAATCGCTAATTTGACGGCCAATGCGAGGCCTGATGAGAACTGCAGAAAGCTGAGAATGGAGCATGGAGAACGTGGGGGCCAGCAAGAAGAAGAACAAGAGATGCATTGTGCTCGGGCAATTAGCAATGCGCCAAATGTTTGCTAAGAGGCCAGGCCAGGCCAGGTCAGGCCAAGTCGAAGTCAGACTTGAAATCGTGGATATAACTATATTAAAGAAAATCTATCTATATTTAAGTGCGAAATTTCACTCGCTGCTGTGGAAAATTGGTGGATTGGTATTGAAACGGATTTCAAAAGATGTTACTTAAGGTTCTCTTCAGATGAGAATGAAATATTCAAGAATCTTGTTAACTCCAAGCATCATCAGGTGCAACAAGCCCATCATCATCATTATCATTGCGATTATCATTATCATTATCATTATCATTATCATTATCATCAGCAAGAAGAACGATGACTCATATCGCATATTGTTATACAATAATGCGAGATCAACTCAATTTGGTGCACTGATATGGGTTAAGCCGAACGAGAATTCGGAATGACAACAAGAAGAAAGGTCTTCGTGGGCATCTTTCAACTCGGTAGCTGACATATCGAACTGTGGTGGGCGAGGGTAAAGGGTATGGGTGTGGTGCGGGCGAGGGGGAAGGGTAGAGAGACGGTGCAGACAGCCAGAGCAGAGCAGTTAGCGCAGACAATGATGACGCTGCAAAGCGTAGGGGCTGAAAGGCAACAATGCATGCAGAGAGAAAGAGAGAGCAAGAGCGAAAGAGTGTGGGATAGAGAGAGAGAGAGAGAGAGGGGGGGGGGGGGGAATGGGGCAGCTGCTGCTACGGGAACCTGTTGCAGTTTCGTTTTAGCCACTTGAAAAGCAATTTTTGAAATTTATTTTCCATTTATTGCTTTATTTATTTTATACCTTTTCAGTGTGGCCCATTCAGCGTCTGAGTGTGTGTGTGTGTGTGTGTGTGTGTGTGTGTGCGTCTGCCTGTGTAGCTGCTTATGCGATTAGAGCAAGAGGAGCTCAGCCACGTCTGCTGCAGTCTGTTTATTTGTTTTGGGCCCAGAACAATTCTCGACCAAAGCAAAGGCAACTTGGCCGCGCTGAATGGGCGCGGGGACAACAATCGAAAGTAATAATGAAATCTCATAAACAACAGCAGCAACAATAAACACACAATGTGTGCGAGCGAGAGCGCAAGCACAAAACTGTCTGCGCCCTTTTGCCAGCGATGAGTTCGCAGTCGCAGTTGCCGTCGCAGTTGCCGTCGCTGTCCGCGTTGCAGTCACCGTTGCTATTGCTATTGCTATTGCTATGGACGACACTTGCCTTGATTTGTATTATGTTGGGCTTTTCCACACGCACACACGCACACATTCACATAGGCACACACATACATACATACATGCACAAGAGCATTTCTGCATTGTTGTTGATTGTTGTTGCATTGCCTTTTGATTTATTGTTAGCAGGAATGAGAGAATGGGCCCAGGCAAAGAGCAAAAGGCACAACAACAACAACAACAACAACATACTCTCAGCAGGCAGCGCTGCATTGTTGCTGCTCTCTCGCTCTCGCTCCCTGCTGCTGTTGTGTGTGTGTTTTTTTTTTGTGCTTGCATTCCGCACTCAGAACATTTTTACCTTTTGCCAAGAATTGTGCGTGTGTCTGTCTGTGTGTGTGTGTGTTTCTATTCTTGTGCGGGCAGCAACGTCGTCGCGACGACGTCGACGCAGCTGTAGACAGTTCATTAATGTTATCAACAGCATGGGGGCATGGGACATGGGGTCGGGGGCTGATCGTTCATTTCTTTGCATTTCGGCCGCATCGTTGTAGGTAACAGCAGCGACGCTGCGTCGCTGCCGCTGCCTGGGTTTGTGTCCTAGCTAAACGTCAATTTTGAGCCGCCCAGCACTTGCTGCTGCTGCAGTTCTGCTTCTTCATCTTCTTCTTCTTCTTCTTGTTGTTGCATAAATGGGCCAAAGTCGAGTTAAATAAAACTGGTGGCAACTATTGGCCAAAAAAGGATAGAACAACATGCTGCGCTGTCTTGGCCCGTACAAATTGTCAGCTCGAATGGAACGGGCCAGTTGCAATTTATGGACAGCTTGTTGACCACATGAACTACTTTCCAGTCGGGCAATTGCCGTTAGCCGTCGCTCAACAGATACAAATAAAAATAAGCCACAACTCACCTGTGCAATGCGTGCAACCTGTGCTGCTCAGGATTCCAACTCTCAAATCGACGGCCGCCCGTTTCCTTCAGTCAGCCGCATTCACAATTGACATAGTTGACTATTGAGCGGGAGAGCGAGTTTCCACTCGACACTGTTTTTGTTTGGGTTTTTTTGTTTTTGTTTTTCAATCACTTGATTCATTCACAACAAGCCGAAAACAAGTTACCTGTTTGCATCAAATAAAAGGTATTAGAAAACTTTTTGCATTTCTTTTGCAGGCAACATCATCGAAATGAAAACCGAAAGATTCAATTAGTTTTGGGTCTCTCGCTTTGTCCGACAAGCAACGGCACATTTCCGAAATTTTCGACTCTCCAAATATTTGGCATTCGAAATGGGCAAGAGGCAGCGGGCAGCAGCCGGCAAAAGGCAAACCGCAATAATGTCCGATTTAACGGTTATTTTTATGAATGAACGACCAAATTGATTGATTGACAATCAGCAAACAGTCGCGAGTTGGCGAATGTTATGAAAACATCAATATGTGTAGTTGCATGTGTGGCATCAGTCACATGTGATGCATGCATATGTCATATATACATACATCAAGCATGCAGCATTACATCACAAAAGCTGATGCCAGTTCATCTGTGCATAAAGCCTTCCGCCCATACATCAGACGCACATGTGCACAATTGTGCATACATCATTGATTTTGCATGCGTATTCGTACATCTGTGTGTACACACACACACACACACAGAGAAGTATTTATGTCATTTTGTCGTTTGCCTTTTGCAGCTGTTTGCCGGCCGCCGCGACGTTTTAAAAATAAAAAACAAAATAAATATAAATATAAATAAAAATAAAAATCAAAAAGGAAGAGTAAAAAATAAAGAACCAACAACAACAACAACAAAATGAATGCAAGAAAGGAAAGACTAACAATGCAAACGCCTCAACCACTTCGCATGCACTTTGTTGTTATTGTTGTTGTTGGTTTTTTGGCAAATTGCATTCGCTGCCAATTAACACGCACTTTAACAGGTAGCCGCAATCCTCATTAGTCCGATGATCATTAGCAGCTGTAGCTGCAGCTCATTGATAACAATTCGCACAGTTCCCGGGCTGCGATCACTGAATTAAAAACAAACAGTAAAAAAACAATCTTACGCACGCCAAAAGCAAATTGGGGTGAAAGAAAGAAGAAAAAAAAAACGGTAAAGATGCTCGCGCACAATTGCCCAGAACGCAGAACACAACCTGTCAGCGTCGCGTCACGTAAGTAACTGAACTGAAATGTCTTCGTGCATTCGACGTGAAGAGCGGCCAGCCGGGCCGCAACAGCGCTCGGCTCGCCTCGGCCGCACACGAGCCATTCGGCCGAAGACACGGCTTGTGTGTGAGTGCGAACGACAAGGCAATAGGCCATAATAAAGCTGCTTGGCGATACAGGCAGGCGCAGCGCTGCTCAAGACGGCGTTAAGGAAGCTGCGCCTGCTGCAGTCGCCCCCCACCGCACCCACCAACACACTTCACACACAGCCGTCAAGCGCAAATCGAGCGCAAAAGAAACACGTGCCAAAAGATTTGATTTATTTTTTTTAAATGTTTTTTTTTTTTTTTTTAATTTTTTATTTTTGTTATTTGCTTGACAGTTTCCATTCGTATTATACATTTACGTTTGATAATAATTTGAATTCTTTTTTTTTTTTGTAACTTTTATTCTTGTTCAATAAACTGTAGTATATAAGTATGGTTTAACTTTATAAACTTGGTGCATGTGCTTGTGTGTGTGTGTGTGTGTGAGTGGGTGTGTGTGTTATATGCAATTTTTGTGAGGTTAGGTTAGGATCTGTTAATTGTCAAGCTGCACAACATTTTACACTGGGCTCTCAACGCAAAGAAATCATCGAAAATGAAAAGATTTTAAGTTGTGATGGGCAAAAAAACAAAAAAAAAATTATTATTATTGTTATTATTATCAGATGGCTTATATATCATTTTGGTTATGTATATGTAGTTTGTTCTTGGCTAGTATGCGTTGTTGTTCTTCTTCTTCGTCTTGTTCTTGTTCTTGTTTGTGTGTGTGTGTTCGAGTTAGTTGGGCCTTAAACTTCTATATATATTTATATGTACTGTAGTTATGAATCCATTTAACTTTATTGTTTCGTTACGAGTTTTCACTTCTTATGGCCGTTTTACGTTTAAAGTTAGCTGTTCTTCTTCTTTCATTCATTCATTCTTTCTTTTTTTTTTGTTTTGATTCTATCATTATTTGAATAATTTTTGTGCAACTTTTAAGATAAACAGTATTAAAAGTTGTAGAAGCAATTGCAACATTTCGTTTCTTTGTTTCGTTTTTATCGATGATTTTCCTTTCGATATCAAAAATTAGCGCATTGTGTGTTAAATTGTCCCTCTTGTTCTATATATATATATATATATATATAGATATTCCATAGTCTAACATAGTATATATATATAAAAAAAAGTGTATTTAAAAAAAAAAAGCTAACTTCTGTTGTGGGATTGTGTTTTTTTGTTTGTGTTTTTTTTTTTAGTTTGTTTTCTTTCTTCTCTTCTGTGTGTTGCCTTAAACGACGGGTGGTTCGGTGCCGCCCAGGGCCTCATCGTTACTGAAATGTTCGGGAAATAAAATGGAAATCAAATTAAACTTAAAAGAAAAAACAAATAAATTAATGAATTTTTAAATAAAAAGTATATAAATGATAAAAAAACAACCTTAAATAAAAGAAAAACAAATAATACCTCCAATTTGAAGATCATAAAAGTTTTTTCAAATAAATAGTTATTCGAACGTACGTCAAGAGCTTTAAGTCGTAATCGTATTGAGTTTTATGCACTCAAACTTTAAAGTTTTGAACTGCATGAGCAGCTGGCAAAGCTTCCGCTAGCTGCCAAAACAAATTTTTCGTGAGCTTTCGAAGCTCTTTTATTTCAAACGGCAGACAATTTTTAAGCTTTAATGAGATTTGTGTAATTTAAGCTTTTAGCTGTATGTGCGATTAATTTGCGGTTCACTCAATTTTTAATGAGCTTTCGAAGCTTTTCTTGTAGTAATTTCTCTGGCTAAATATTAAACGCATGTTTGCAACTCAAGTAAACTAGACATTTATCGATTAATTTTACTATATATGTGTATATATATATATATATAAGATATATATAATTTGATATCGATATACTTGTACTGTTGCATAGGCTGCTAGGCATTAAAACATTTACTATAAACAGACAACGCTAAACGAGTGTTAAGACTAATTAATATTGTTAAGAAGAGGAATAGAAGAGTATTCGTCTATCGGTTTCACTGTTCAATTTCAGACTTTGTCTCAACGAGTTGAGCTAAGAACTCGCACTTGCCAGCATTTCAGTATTTTGCGTTTAACATATAGATATATATATATATATATATTTATAAATGCGTGTATATTAATTTGATATAACTGTTTATGGTATATATGCTTTCCTAGGTTATGGCCACGCTTCTGCCGAGAGGATTCACGACTCTGCCGCTGCCTATGGAATAATTCCTTGCCGCCCATCGAGTACTACGATAGGTTTTACACTCTCTTAGTGGGTGGTAAATATTAACGATGTTTTTTTTTTTTTTTTTTTAACAATATTTCGGTGCTAACTAGTCAAAAAAAAAAAAAAAAAAATTAGCTATATTTGTATGCATATAGGTTTGAATCCTTTGGGATCTGTCGTAGTTTAGTTAGCTATTTGAAATATTTAACTATGAATATATGTATATATATATATATATATATTCGATATATATAGTGTTATAACATGATATTTTGCAGTGATATGGCACGATAATTGTTTCATGTGTCGTTCAACAGATGGCGCCACTGTCCGGGCGCTTAGCTCGGCGCGGGCAGCAGCCAGATCAGGCCGCTTGCCAGCAGGGCCAAAGGCGCCACAGCCACGCCCACGGGCCGAACACTCGCATCGTAGGCATAGCCATAGCTATGATGCAGCTGTTTAAGATTGGGACGCGGATAGATGATGTGCACCGGCGGCGGCTGATCGATCTTGTCAAAGAAGTTCGGATCGTATCGCTTGTCGCCCGGCTCGTAGTCGTGATAGATGAGACTCGAGGGATTCCAGTAGTCGCTGTTCTCCGCCAGAGCCGCATGCAGTGTGCAGAATTCAGACCGATTAGCAGAAGCGACACAAACGAAAAACAATCCTAGACTAAACTCAGACCTAGTGAAAGAGTTAGCTTAAGCCTGAACAAGTATGTAGAAAGGACTTGACCCCCCCATGACCCAGATATGCTTCTAGCTGCAGTAGTGTAAGGCTCAGCAGCTCTCAGACCCCGACCTAGACCCTTATCTTAAGCTGTAGTTTTGCCTAAACTGTTGGGGCCGTGTTGGTGGAATTCAAAGTCCACTCGCCAACTATTTAGTTAATGACCCAAATCAACTCCGAGATAGACCAAGATATTGATTTTCCTTCAGTGGCACAGCTTTAGCACAGTCCAACCTTTGGCTGGCTCTTACTTCCCGCTGTATAGATATTGCTGGTCTATGGCAGAGTGGCCTGTAAGGCCCAGATACCATTATCCAACCTTAATCTTACACATAACAGCTTAGGTCAGATGAAAGTAAGCCCCAACCTCGACCCAGTTACGCACTCAAGGTTCTTTGACTGTTCCGAAGGAGACCTAACCCAGAGTCAGATCTCGATCCAAACTTGGAAAGAACTTACCCAACTTACCCAAGACCTAGTCACAAGAGAAATTCTTACAGAGACCTAGTTACCAAGACTGGATTACCTCCAAATCCAAGCCCAGGAATACACTTACCCCAGAGCGAAGGTTAGACCTAGACTTCGAGTCAAGCCACAGCTGGAGCTGGAGCTGGAGCTGGCAGAAACGCTTTAGGTACTTACACGGGGCAGGTATCCACGTTGACGCCGTTGACAGCGGCCTTGCCCAGATTGATCTGGCCGACGGCTTCGCCCTCGACAAAGACAATGCAACCGTTGAAGTTGTGCGTGTAGCGTTTGCCCGTGAAGCTCGAGATGTCCGGTATGCCACCTGCAAGGGAATCGGAATTGGAATCGTAAGTAAAACATGAGCACAGTTCACGGATGGGGGGCAGGGACATAAAATGAGACTGACCAATGTAGACGTTGCCGGGCAGATGCATCTCCTTCTTGCTGGTGGGCCGTGTCTCGCCGGAGTCAGAGATGCGATCGACCTCCAGTATGGCCGTGTTGTCCGCCCGCTTGACCAGCACAATGTGACGCTGTCCATCATCGACGGGCGTGTCCACATTGCGTATGACCACCTCCTCGCCGTCCAGACGCAGCGCATATTCCACAAAGCCATCGACAACGGCCAATGCTATAAAGTCCTGGCCGGTAAACTCCTCGCCAGCGTTCTGGCCCCACCAGAGCAGCAGGCCATTGGGTTTGCTGGTGGAGAAGACAACCACCGCCGAGGTGTATTGCTGGTCCACCTGCGAGCTGAACTGGTTGCGATCCAGCTCCAGATAGCCGTTGCCGCGGAACGAGGCATTGAAGCTCACCTGAATGTCTGTAAGGGACAAGAGCAACGGAGAACGGAATAAGAATGCAGCTCCTCAATCTGCCAGCTCTGGTCACACTTACGCTCCTCGCAGTGCTTGCCACTGTAGCCAACGGCACAGGCACAGATCGCCTGCTGCTCCATTTCGGTGCAGGTGCCGCCGTTCTCGCACGGTTCATTCGCGCAGGGTGACGCCGCCACATAGGGCTGTTGCTCCTCCTCGTGCGAGGAGCCGCCGACTGACCCGGCTGGCCCACCCATGGACAGCTGCTCGCCGTCGGTGTCGCTGTCGCCGCCAATCTCGTTCAGTTCGTTGCAGTTCTGAACATTGGCCGCATCCTTGATGCCCGTCAGCAGCTGTACGGGACGCATCGAGTCGTACAGCCGCGAAATGCAGCCATCGAAACCGTCCGTAATGTTCACATCCCGATTGATCTTGACCGTCGCCCGATCATAGCCGCCCACATACAACGGTGTCTTCAGCGAGAGCGTGCGCGGTGCGCCCGCCGCCTTGGCGCGCTGCTCGGGCTCATCGCCCACACGGAGTATGCTCTCGCCCTGGCGACGCAGCAGCTCGACGCGCGTCCATCTGTGCAGCGGCAGCGGTTTCTGTGAGCGCACCACCACAGGCTTCAGTCGCGCCGCCGTATTGATGATCAGCTCCACGTGACCGTCGCGCAACACCAGCGCCACATAGTCGCCGCTGGGCAGCTTCGACTCGGCCGCATACAGCAGCACCGCATCCCGCAGGCTGGATGGACGCAGCGACAGGGTCACATTGATGCGCGATACACGAGGTGTGCTGTGGCAAGAGTTTGGTCTGAGTCATTTGTACTTTTAAAGGAATGCCTAGATTAGAGCTTCCAAACTTCCAACAGTTAACTATTGCAGCATTAATTCATAATCCAAGTTGAAGGCTCAGCTTTGTTCAACATAAGACCAAAATGGAGCTGCTAAGTCTCAAAGGACCTTGTCTAAATTGTATATAGGAAAGTGTGTCAATTCCCCAAAAGCTTTCCTTGATAACTTGATAGAAATCACAGAAGGTTCGAGAGATTAAACATACAGCACGTACTCCTATTTCTATTCCAATTCCTATTCCTATTCCTGTTCCCATTCCAATTCCTATTCCCATTCCTATTCCGATTTCTATTTATATTTCTATTCCCCTTCCTATTCCTATTCCCGTTCCCACTCCTATTCCTATTCCTATTCCTATTCCAATTCCTATTGTTGGTAGACATGGGGGTGTTTGACTCACCCGTAGGCCGCATAGCTGTTGCGCTTGAAGTTGAGACTGTGCTCGTTCAGGTGCTCCATGTACTGGCAACGATCGCCGGTGCGATTCAGCGGGCAGAGGCATTCCATGTCCAGTTCGGTGTTCTCACAGCGTCCGGCGCCGCACAGGCCGGGCGTGCACTGGGTGCCCTCGACGGCGCAGTTGCGTCCGGTCCAGCCATGCTGGCAGACGCAGCTGTAGGCCAGTTCCGTTTGGCTCTCCAGGCAGATGCCGCCGTTGGCGCAGGGTGACGTGGCGCAAGGCTTGCAGCTGGTGATGCCCTCCTTGAATTTGGCATCCTTCATCAGTTCAATGGTGCGGCCCTGGAGCGCGAGTCGACTGATGCAGCCCACAAAGCCCGTTTGCTGAGCCACCGCCTCGTCCGGCAGCTGATCCCAACTGGGCACGCCGCCAATGTATAGATCATCAATGAGCTCCAGCTGTGGTATTTGTGTCAGCGTGGGGAATGCCACCGGATGCTGTTCGTCCAACTGAATGTAGCCATCGCGACGGGAGCGATGTACCCGAGCCGTATGCCATTCATTCAACTCGATCGGCTGTTCTGCACGAACGATCATCGGCTTGCCGCCAAAGTCAAAGCGGAATTCCACGTTGCGATCCTTGAGGGAGAGTGCAATATAGTCGCCAGTTCCACGCGTTTGTCCATTGAAGAGCAGCAGACCGTTGGCCGATTCCGGGCGGAAAGTGATCTCAAAGTTGAAGTTGAATGAGGAGTCGGGCAGCGTGGGGAAGCTCATGTAGCTGAGCGGCTGCTGATGGAACTGCGGTATGACGCCAGTGATGCCCAATATGCTTGGGTAGTCCACGGATTCGCCATCGCTATAGACGGCGGTGCAGATGTAGCTACCGGCATCATTGGCCTGCACATCCTGCAGCAACAACTTATCCTGTGTGTTGAGATCAGGTGGAGAACAGTTAGAGAGAAGTGGGAGATCAGTTGGGCAAGAAATGGAGATCAAGAGTTCAGTTGGAGATCAGACAGAAGGTGGAGAACAATTGGGCAAAAAGTTTTGGTAAGGATCCTTTTGAGAACAGGTGAAAGATCAAGTGGAGATCAGTAAAGGATCAGGCAAAGATCAGTTATTTGATATCAGAAAGGTGGAGGTCAGTTAAAAAAAAAGTAGAAATTAGGTAGAGAAGAAATGGAGATCAGCTAGAGATCAGGTGGGGATCCGTTCGAGCACAGGTTAAAAGCAGTTACAGATCATTTAAAAGATCAGTTTAAGATAAACTAGAAAAAGATTGGTTAAAGATCAGTTAGCAAATAAATGGAGATCAATAGGATCTCAGGCAAAGATCAGTTAGCAATCAATTTAAGAAAAGGCAGATATCAGTTAGATCGAAGGTAAAGATCAGTTGTACATCACGATTTTGCTCTACTTACGCTGAGTATATCGCGACCCGGCTGCAGCTGTCCGTATTGGCGTGTCCAGCGATAGGTGGGCTGACGGCTCTCATCGGCGTCACAGTTCAATTGGGCCCGATCACCCACCTGGGCGTGCACGATCTTCGGACGGCGCAGCTCATGTGGCTGCTCCTCAATGGCCAGCTCATAGCTTGTCGTATACAGATCACCATCATCCGTGCGGCACTTGCACACATAGTTGCCAGCATCCGCGGCGGTCACCTGCGCGATGACCAGACGGTTGCCCACTTGCTGTGTAGCGGCAGAAACAGAGAGAGAGAGAGAGAGTGTGAGAGTGGGTTAGGCCGCTGGCCGGGCGGGTCACTCACCTGTACATTGGCGGAGAGCGGAGCACCATCGGAACGTTCCCAGATCACATCCGTATAGCTGTTGTCCGAGGAGTAGCATTCGACTTCGGTGGATTCGCCGACGCGCAACTTCGATGACTGCTGATCCAGTTTGAGACTGTAGTCGCGTGGCACCAGAGGCTCCGGTGGTGGCGTGACCCTCGAGGGCGGCAGATATGCGCCCGGGTTGGGCATGCCCGCTGCTGAGCAAAACCATCAAGGGTGGGGCAGGGCACCACCACAAACACAGGGACAGCACAGTAAGCAATAGAGGAAGAGCAGGACGACGATGACGACGACGACGACGACGACGGGGACGACGAGTTGAGGATGTTTCGGCGGTTGCAACGTTCACAATTGGCGACAATTCACAATTGGGTTATGTGATGATCAAGTGCACGTGTGTGTTTGTGTGTGTGTGCGTGTATGTGTGAGCGGTGAGTGTATGTGTGTGTGTGTGTGTGTCGGTGTGTGTGTCGGTGTGTTCGTGTTCGTGATGCGGCATTTGAGATGAGTAGGTAAGAAAAATACACAGAGAGAAAAAAGCAGTTAGCAAAATACATGTCAACAATGGCGATTTATACAGATACGTGATGCGATGTATATCGAACGCACGTACGTCAGATCTATCGATAGTTCCGACGCTCGTCTGCGTATGTGTATATATGTGTGTTTGTATGTGTGTGTGTGTGCGCATTCGATACGCATCACATTTTTACTTTTTGTTTGTTTTTTTTTTAGTCATTTTATGTTTAGAATTTCGTTTCCTAGTTAGACAAATAAATACATAGAAATTGGTTTGGGTGGGTAAAAGGAATAGAATAGAGCGGTGATATCGATACTAATAGTTACACAAAAAAAAAAAATACATAGGTCTACACAAAATATACTAAATATGGCTACTGTTTCGAATCACACTGAATACGAGTACAAATACTATGTGTAATGAGTGGTTGGGTTATGTATGCGATTGTTCAGTTTGATAGAGTTTTTTTTTTTGCTTTTCAAATAATTAGTGAAAATATTTTGGTATTTTTTCGGGGTTTTTTTTGGTATTTTGTTGGTATTTTTGTGGTATTTTCTGCTTATTGTGTAACGAATGACAAAAATGGGTAACCATTAGACCAGTACATTTTCATTGACATATACTTAGCTACAAACATATACATGTTATACAATATATACTATCCGATATATGTCGGATATATATATATATCCTGTATATGGGCTACAAATACAATACAAATTCTACTTAATTATCGCTTACACATGGTTATATCGATAAGATTTTGATGGCAATTTGTTGTTCGATCGAAAGATTTTTAGTTCACAAAAAAAATTTTGTTTTTTTTTTTCAATTTCAGTATGCTCTGTTATTTGTCTTGTGTGTGTATGTGTGCGTGTATGTGTGTGTGTTTATTTACAAAATTTTGTTTGTTTTTTTTATCAACATACTTGTATATACTTATTATACAGAGTTGGGTTAGTACAAATTGGAATACCCACATGCATTGATTAACTCTACAAATCAGATACCATTTGCTTGTTTTCGAGTCGAGCCCGATACCATAAGTTTTGCTGAAAAATTGATGCGGTAAAACGGCGTTGGGCATGCGCGATTCGCCGGTTGCAAGCACTTTCATGTTATCGGTATCGTGTTATCGTTATCGATAACACGACCGTTGCGACTTACGTACTAGCAAAACCTGCGTACAGTCAGATAAGCAGCTACCCACACACACTACTGCAATTTGTTGTTGTTGTTCTTGTTCTTGTTGTTGTTGTTGCAATTGCTTCATCTAAAGTCGTGTTGCTGTTGTCGTCGTTGTATTTATTTATTTTTTTTTATTATTTTTTAACTTAGTTTAAACGTGAGTTGAGTGCAAGTTGCAATTGTTGCAGGTTTTCTCGTTTTGCATCTAAAACTTGTGCGCCTACGAACGGAGTTAGAGGAGCCAAACAGTTGGATAGATAGATAGCCAGATAAAGATAAAGAGCATAGGCAGATAAGGACAGATGGAAAATAGCATATGATAAATGAAGATACATTACTTTATGCTGCTGTCAAAGATCAAAGCACGACGTTTAACGAACAGCTGCATGTTAAATTTTAGCAGCTGCCTGTTAAGTGGCAGCGTTGCCAAGCTGTTCTGCGTTGCACTGTTGGCAACGTCAATCGACAGTTCGTTTTGGCGTTGCCACAATGCAAAAAATGTAACAATAAACTTTGACAGCAACATAATTATGAAAAGGAAATGTGAAATGATCGAGAGATAGGGAGTGAGATAGGAGAGAGCGAGAGCGAGAGAGAAAGAGAGAGAGGGAGCGTAAGTAAGGGATAAAAATACAGTTTTCAGGCTGCAGAAAAAAAGTGTGACAAAGAAATGTGAAAAACTTAAGACGAACCGAAGCTTTTTGCCAGCCGCACAACTTGATGCTTTGCCGTCCAATCACGATGCTTTCGCTGATCCTGTTTCCAGAGCTGTGAGCGTTTCTGCTTGCCGGTGTAGCTCTTCTTCCAGCGCTTAAAGCTGCCCAATCCAGTGCCAGTCCCAGTTCCAGTTGTTGTGCCCGTGCTCACGCCCAGACCCCCTCCCACTCCGACTGTCACTCCCGTGGCCGCACCTCGGCTGGCCGTACAGTTAAACTCATCGGAATGATCTGTGCAATCGTAGATGCCATCACAGACCATGCTGGACTTGACGCACGTGTGCGGATGCGAGATGCACTTGAAGTCGGTCGGCTGGCAGGCGTAGGAGATGATCGGGGGACGGGCGGGCGGTGGTGTCAGTGGTTTGGCCGGCGACATTTTGTTCAATTTAAAATCTATTTTGCTCGCAGTGTTATTTTAGCATATGCAGGCGTTTTCAGATTTGGTATTTTTTTCGGTATTTTTCCAGTATTATTTTTGTTGGCATTTTTTAAATAAATATTTATGTATTTGATTTGATTGTATAAAGAGCATAAAAGAAAAGATTAGCAAAACGACGCCTAATAACACATCAGCCGCGGTTAGTACAAATATCACCCACTTTACTGCCGCTACTGCGATTACGCATACGCACCGTTCGCCAACGTATTAAAATGAACCTGAGTTCCATCTAGTATCGTGTTTCAACATATACGTAAACTCATCTATATAGTTGATCGAATGTTGTGTGCCGTTTATAACAATCGTGTTTAGTATAATTTACAGGGGTAGGTAGGTAGCTTGGGGTATAGATGAATTGTGCTACATACCATAACCGAAAAAAAAAAACTAACTAAATACTAGCTATGCGGCAGGCTGGTTGTGCTGTGTCCCCCGTGTGTGTGTGTGTGTGCGCGCGTGTGTTGGTGCTTTTAGTGGGCCAGCGGAGAACCAAATGATATTTTCTCTATTTCTTGTTTAGTTTAAAAGATCGTAGCTCGTTTATATACAAATCGTAGGACTAATGTTTAGTATTATATAAAAAAAACACGACATTACAGTAATACAAAGCAAGTTTCAATAGATATAAGTAGTATAAATGGAAAAAATAATACACATTATAACATACTAAAGATATGCAAGTGGATAATTTAAAAAAAAAAAAAATACTCATACAAAATTATAAAAATTATAAAAAATAATAATAAAAAATAAAAAATAGTGTTGGGCTGAAAAATGAATTTCATATGTGATTATTTCGCGGTAGCGGTAACACACCTGCACATATATATAAGACCATGCAGGGGAAATCTTGGCCGCCCTTATACAAGCTCAAATTGTACTTATTTGCTAAGGTATTTCGTATTTTTTCGGTATTTTTGCAGTATTTTTGCGGTATTTTCAGTATTTTGGTGGTATTTATCGTTGGTTGTTGATGCAGTTGTTGCGGTTGTTGTTGCAGATGCAGTTGTTGTAGCAGTTGAGTTGATGTTGTTGCAGCATATCATATTTAGTAGTATATATATATAAATATATATATATAAATATATAATATATATAAGTATATGTATATATGGTTTATGTATACATGAGCATAATTCGATTTTTGTGTGGTGTTTTGTAGTATTTTTTTTTTTGGTATTATATCATATGCAAAGCGCCCAAAACATTACAAAATTTCATAAGATATATATATATATATATATATATATAAAATATATATATATATATGTGTGTGTGTATGTGTGTTTTTTTTTTTTTCATTTTGCATTTTTTTTTGCACAAGCGCACATGTAAGAGAAAGAGGGAGAGAGAAGAGAAAAAAGCAGTAAAGAAAGAGAGAAATAAAAAATATTTATCAAATAAATTGATGTGTACCATTCAAGAAAAAAATTATGTGCCCTAAATAAAACTACAAATTCGTTAAACGAAATACTCAAAAATGTGTTTTCTCTTATCTGTTTTTTTTTTTGGTATTTTTCATGAGAAAGAGCTTGGCAGAGCAGCGCGTAGTTAGGAATTTGGAATTTTCGAATTGGAAATATATTCTTTTCGTTTTGCCAATTGGTATGTTGAATAGAACCATTTCATTTTGGGAAACGTTGCTCAAAATATTAACCTCAAATTAGGTTAGGTTCAGAGTATTTCACGGATTCCATTGCTTTTAAACTGATTTTAACTTATTCAATGCAAAAAGTACAAATATACGAATATCTAAAAACAATTTACTGTGAGACTTTCAACTGGAGATTATTTACATAGTTATAATTGGGTACAGATACATGAGGTTTCTATTCGTATTTTTTTGGGGTGCATGTGCAGCTTGTGTGCATTGTGGAAGAACGGTAAGGGGAAGGGGGGTGCGGGTGTTGGTGGTGTTGGGTGTAACAAGGGTGGGCGGGGGAGCGGTAATAGAGAGCAAGAGAGAAAGGTGTGTGATTGTGTGTGTGTGTGTGTGTGCAGTGCAATTATTTTATTTGTTGATCGTTCATCTTTTTATGCATATTAAAACAAAACACTGAAGGATACACAAGAATATCGCCGTTGAGCAGGAATACAAGGAACCATCCACAAAAGAAAAAAAAAACCCATTTGGGAGATGAGCACAAGAAACCGGAACCAGAACAAAAAACAATAATCGAGGCAAAGGACAACGAACAAGGTGAATGTAACCGACACCAACACAATGAAAGAGCCCAAAAGAAAACATAAATAAACATCGAATGAAACTATAAACAAAACTCAAAGTAAATTTAGAAAGAAAGATCGATCTTTGGCATGCCAAAGTCCAAATACCCTTGCAGAATATCGGATGTGCCCAGCTAAACTTAGGCAAATGTGTGTAGTTGTATAACATTTAGCTCGAATTCACAAAGTTCTCTGGTCGGGACTGCCCGCCTAGCAGATACCCTGAACACAGCGAGTAGCTATTGCTATGCAAATTCTAGCTTCCTTCTATATGCTTCTTTAACTGGCCTAATAGCTTGGCAAACGCATTTGCGCTTAGACTCGGTGCTTATAGTCCGATCGTTTTCATATTTTCTGTGCCTAACTGTATTTTCGATTGACGGAAAGCGGACTTGACTTGATAAGCTTAGCTGACAATTCCGTTCAAGTATATATATATATATATACTGCATAGAGTCACAGATGCTTGTGTACTCTCTGTCACATAAGTTTACACAAAATCAGTATACCCCTTTAGGATCTTTTCGCACAGATTGAGGGTATCGTTTCCCAACTTGTTTCTGCTATGTTCAGCTGTTAATCGTTAAGCTTAAATGAAATATGCCCTCTGCTGTCATAATAACTAATAGTACCAAATTTTGGCCAAACTGGATCTCGGCAAGGGTATATGCGTGTATATATATCTATATACAATTAGAATAGAATGTTAATTAACGAAATAAAAAGAATATGTTACAATTGTTTTTGCTTTACACAAAATTTTTAATTGCTTGTGTAAAAATGTGTGTTAATATTTTTTGTTTGTTGTTTTATTTGTCAAAAAAAACCACTGCTGGGACTTAAAGCACAAAAAAAAAACCACAGCTGGGACTTATTATTATTATTGTATTAGATATGGCAGCCACTGTTAAGCTTAAATTTCTTTTCTTCTTTTAAAAATAGTTATGTTTACGTAATATGCGTCAATTGCATTAAAGTATATATATATATAGGTATATAAAAAAAAAAACGTATAGTATTAGAGGGTGGAGGAGGGGGGGTAGTTTTTTTTTCCTTTCTGTTGTGGTTTATATAAAATTTAATTGAAAATTGAAAAGTTTTTCTTTCCAGATTTGGTTTCCAACTTAAGTTTATAAATTTCAAACGTATCGAAAAGGAATTGTTGGCTGTTGGCTGTGTGCGTGGCTTTTTCTTCTTCTTTTCATTTCTTTGCGTGGTGGGTGGGTGTGCGTGTGTACGTGTACGTGTGTGTGTACGTGTGTGTGCGTGTGTGTGGTTCGTTTCGTAGGTTCGTGTTTTGTGGCTGTGGGGCATGCATTAACTGTACAAGCCGAGTTAACATTCCAGTTGGTATTTTTTGGTATATTGTTGGTATTTCTGGTATTTTGTTTGTGTGACTGTACAAGATGCTTGTGTGGCAGTTGTTTGTTAAAGAGTGTTGACACCGTCACCAGTTTGCCAAAATAATTCAGATACTTATAAGTACATATACAGATACAAATATATAAGATATATATATATAATAAAGAGAGAGAAAGAGAAAGGGTGTGTGTGTGTGTGTGTGTGTGTGACATGTTTCCATCATTATTGTAGTGGGTATTTTTGTTGTTCTTACAATTTAGAGAGTTACAATTGTTAGTGGCTGTGTTTGTTTGTTGGCTTATTGTCAATATATACAGAGTGTTTGGATACCCTAGAACCGTCAAAACCGTATCCTTAAAAACGTATTTGCTTAATATTGCTTGTGTGAGTGTGTCTGTGTGTTCGTGTGTGTGTGTGTGTGTGTGTGTGTGTATGATTACATTTGTAGATAGTAAGATACTTGGTAAGTTAACAGCTCGCATATTTACATGGAGTTTTATCGAACATTTATCAGTTTTACAGGGTATATAGTAGTGTGTACTTGTACTATGTATATATATATATATATATATACGTGTGTGTGCGTTTGTGTTTGCGTGTGTCAAGTTTAGTCAAGTAGTAAATACATACACATGTGGATATACATATACATATGGATATATTGGATATTGCTAGACATGTATCTATATAGATATATATATGTATACATATATATGTATACATATATATTTATATAGTTAAAGTAGTGTGATAAGAACAAAGTAAAATCAGCGAGCGAGCGAGCATTTCAATCTTTCAATCAGCTCTTCGGTATTCTTTTTTTTTGGTTTTTTCTTTTCCATCTATTTGTTTAATTTTTGTTTACTTTTTTGTTTTGTTTGTAATATTGCCAACAAAGCCTAATCCTTACGGAGGTTTTCTTTTAGATGCCTTACAATTCTTTCGATTTATTTGAATTCTGTTAGTATGTTTTTTTTTTTGGTATTTTTTCTGGTATTATTTTGCAATTGAAATTCTCTGGCCTAAGAAACGTATATAGTTTGGGATCATGTGAGTGTGTGTGTGTGTGTGTGTTTGTATTTGTGTGTGAGATAAGAGAGATATTTCAGTATTTCTTTCGCATTGTCGGATCTGACATCTGACAAGAATATTGTCTATGTGTGTGTGTGTGTAGTTGTGTGTGTGTGTGTGTGTGTGTGGCTTGGGTTTGGGGCTGGGGCTAGAGATTTACTCACGCTGTACACGCAAATCGATGTAGGTGGAGGGCACACGCTGTCGGGTATTGATGTCATACGAATCGCAGATGTAACGACCGGCATCCTCGGCACGCAGCGAGGTCAGGATGAGCACCTGGCTTTCGGGACGCGCATTGTTCGGCAGCGGGCGTCCATCCTCGCGGTACCAGTGGAACTGCAATTGGGCATTATTTACATATATAATATATGGCTACCTTTTAGATTAAATTATATTTCACCTGAGTATTGCTGCGCTGCTCGCCGCGCTGCGTAGTCACGCTGCAGCGCAGGTGAATGCTCTCGCCCTCGCGGCTCTCCTGCTGCAGCGACTGGGGCTGCTGTGTGTAGAAGGTCGGCGGCCTGACCACCACCTGGGCGGTCTTGCTAACGTTGCCATACTCATTCGAGGCCGTGCAGCTGTAGCCGCCAGCATCGGCTGGCGTTATGGCTATGAAGCGCAGTGTGGCTCCGTCAATGTGCACCGAGCTGTTTGAATTACATCAAATTGTTTGTTAACGAAATGCAAGGATATATTTGGCATTAAGAGCCAAAAAGATTGCTCCAGTCGAATGTATCGGAGTGAGAGTTACTCTGACTTTACGAGGTATTCTAACAGTAAGCGTGCTGCTTCTTGCCTTTGCCCAACTATTAATATGCCTGGGAGATGCATTCTAGATTAACTTTGGTGCTTGGTCAAGATAACTTGACTAACTAAGAAGTTTTCCATACAAGAATCTGATCGATCGATCGTTTCTAGGGAATATATACATTCTTCTGAAATATATATACTCTATGTGTTCGAAGATTTCTCCTTCTATGCGATACACATTTCATCACTGAATTATCCTAGACAAGGTTTATACCCTTAAAAGGTTTCTTCAATATAGAGAGGAATGGAAGAAGGTTTCCCATTCTAGAAATAGAATATTCTCAAACTGTTTTTACTCTACACATCGAGTTTGGTGCATCTAGCTCTTTTAATAGAGCTTGTTTTGAAATCGATATTTATCGATACGTCTTTCTGATGGAGAACCTTATGAATCTTTCCTAAAGACTTTCTTCTGCATGTTACACAAAAGCTGAGCTCATAATTGCCAAAGTCCAGGTCCAACGATACAAAATTGAATCAGGGCCGATTTCTTTTTAGACCTGACTTGGTGTCAAACTGTTTTGAGGAGCTCACCTGGGCAGTGGTCGGTTGTTGTCGGTGGCCCAGTGCACGTTCTCGGGCCGGGCACCCGTCACCAGGCAGACGATCTCCACGTTGCGATCGGCCTCCACTTCGAGCGGTATATTGGGACGGAACGTGATCTGTGGCAGCGGTAGCAGGACCAGTTCCCTAACCACATAGGTCACGACCGTGCCGCGCTGATCGATGGCATTGCAGCGATATTGTCCCAGATTCTGTTCCTCGACAAATGTGATCGTCAGACGATTGCGTTCGGAGTGGGCGTTCGCCAGCAGCGGCTGTCCATCGACACGTGCCCACTGGGTGCTCAAAAACGGTGCCAGGTCACAGGTGAGGGTCACATTGTCGCCCAGATTCGTTGAGAATCTCTGGTTGTTATCCGGGATCGGGTACGGACGCAATGTGGGCGGCTGTGGGTAATATGGCTGCTGATAGGGATCGTGTTCCACATCGCCGTCAGCTGCAAAGCAAAAAGAATGTCAAGCAGTGTTGTTAACCGTTTCACGGCCAGTGTTGGTCAGCCACTTACAGTCACCAATATCGCCGCGCTTGGGCTGCACATCGATGCGTATGGTGCGCTCATCGGTGCCCGCCTCATTGTTGGCCCTGCACGTATAGACCTTGGCATCGGCCTGGGTTACGCGATAGATATTCAAATAGGCCGTATTCTCGCCCTGTTGCCGGCCATCCAGCGAGACGGGCTGGTTGTCCCAGTGCACCGTGGGATTGGGCGAGCCGCTGGCAATGCACGTTATGCGCACCTCATCGCCCTCAGTGTAGCGCACCAGCGACTTGTCCGGTTCGATTTGTATAATCGGTGGCTCCACCACACGCAGCACGGCAATGCCGGTGGTGCGTCCAACGGAATTCTCAGCCACGCACTCATATTCACCGCCATCGGCGATCTGTATGTCGTCAATGCTGCACAAGAATAAATGAGAGCAGTATTAGCACACTCTGCTGGCCAGATAGTATTAAGGTTTACTTACAGAATGTAGCCGGGGCTGACCAGCCTGTGTCGGGGCGAGAGGGGCGTGTCATCGATGCGGCGCCACTGCACCGTCGGCTCGGGTATGCCATTGACGGAACAGTAAAGCATGCCCTGGGCGCTGACGGTGAACGTCTGTGGCGCCGCCGGAATTATATCAACGCTCGGACGCTCCCGAGCTGCAAGCAAGTAAATTATGGTGGTTGTACAGATTAGTATTAGGATCAGACTGTGCGGACCTATCTTATTACCGACTCCATTCTTGTGCACTTGCAATGCATAATCAAAATATATTTAAATATCACATTTGTATGTATATGGTTAAAAATAAATAAATATTTATTTATTACGTTACCGAGTTTTTTGATTGAGTGGCAAGCAGTTAGCAGGAAGAAACAGATCAAATAGAAATATTATGCACTCAAATTCTTTGGCTTTCCAGTTATCCATCAACTGGTTTAGACTATAGCCCGAAGAGCTTTATCTTCCGCTAAGAGCGTGCTTTCTTGCCAGCTTAAGGACTTATGTTGGCCCTTTTTGGCTATCAATTAGAGCTTTAAGTGCAAATGTATTTATTTTTTGTTTTTTTTAGTGTAGCTTTAAAGCTCAATTCGGGACTAATTCAGACCTTCTGGTGGAGCTTTAGGTGCAAACACTTTTATTTAACAGGCAAAAGACAAAAGTATATTGAAGCTTGTGATGATTGAAAGCTCACTGTAAGCTCTTGGAAGTCAGCTTAATCAACATGTTTTAAAGTTCGTCTTAAAGCTTATAAACTAACGTTCATATTGCAACCTTATAGAAGCTTTTGGCCAGGCTTAAAGATAAAGCATAAAAGCTCGACTTGAACGCTTATTCTAGCCATTTGTAGATACAGGTTGAGCTTTAAACGGAAGGAGTTCGAGATAATCTTAAGGCAAAGCTTTTAAGCTTATCTGAACTCAATTTATGGTTTACCTATTTTTTAGAAAGCTTAGCGAAAGAAAAAAGCTCTCAAATGCCTCTCTTGAGGCATATAGCTAAACAAGATGATGGCAAATACCAACAGCTGGACATTAGATATATCATATAAATATATAGTCACGATTTGGGAGCATATATGGTAGAGAGAGACTTACGTTCAACGTCGATACTAGTGCTGGACTGATCTGATCCGTGTGGATTTTCGGCGGTGCAAACGTAGACGCCGCGATTATCGGGTATGGCATTGATAATGCGCAGCACATTGCCGGTTTGATGGACATTGGCGGCCATCGGTTCGCCGACCTTAATCCACTTGATGTTGGGATACGGTGAGCCGCTGGACTCGCAGGTAATGCTAAAGTCGGTGCCCTGATCAATGGAGGTCTGATCGTTAAGTCGCACAATACGGGGCGAAATGCTGCAGGAATTAAATCGAAAGATAAGTTAGTTAATTAGTTTGTTCAGATTGTTAGACGACAAATTATATAAAGCTTATTTAACAACACTATGCTAAAGGCATTCCTGATAAACTCGGTGTTTATCATTCGATCAGATTGAAATTTTTGTGAGTAACAAAGAACAAGCCTATGTCTTTCGAAATGGATTGTTATTGGGAAAAAAACATGGAGATTTACTCAACGTACAAAGAAATTAACGTGTTAAAACGAGTTGAGAATTTTTAAATAGCTGTCTCTGGCTCTAATAAGCTCCGAAGCATGTTTTTGATATTGACTTTTGAGAGAGAGAGAGAGCGAGAGAGATAGAGAGAGACATGGCTCAATCTGATACTGAACAAAAACATATATAATAATAGTCAAATTTAACCAGAGGCCAGGCCATAAACAAATACAAATCGGATCAGATTTGACCAAGTTATGGGGGTGGCCAAATTTTTAAACTGAGTCTATGTTAGATAGGATATTTGAGGAGCTGTGCTTGCACTTACCCGTCGCCAGAGGGCGGCAGCTGACGCTGTTCAATATAGACGCGTGCGTCCTCCGTATAATTGCGACGTGTACGCAAATCGATGCCGACGCAAGTGTAAACACCGGAGTCGCGTCCGGTGGCATCGCGAATCTCGAGCATGTCGCCGCTGATCAGGATATTGCGCTGGCCGTTCAGTGGATAGCCGTCGTGCAGCCACTCGTAGTGCAGCTGGGCGCCGCTGGTCGATTGGCAGGTGAAGCGAACAGTGTCGCCGGCCTCGCCGTTGTACTCCTCCGGCTGGATGTAGACGCGTTCGCGTACCGGCGGCGGCGGCTGTGGTGCATTGCCGCGCACATAGACCTGTACGTATTTCTCATCGGAATCGTATTGGTTTTGCGCCTGGCAGCGGTAGCGTCCCTCGTCGGATTTGCGCGGCGATTCGAATATCAGGCGATTGCCATCGGTGCGCATATGACCATCCGCCTGGCCATCGATGCGCGTCCAGGTGACAGTCGGTGCGGGATTGCCTTCGACTTCGCAGCTAATCTCGTTCGTTTGATACTCCTCGAAAGTCACCGTGCTGGGCAGACTGACGATCTGGGCGGGCGAGCGTTGCGATTGATCTAGAGATTGAGAGATTGACAGCAGAAATGATTAGCATTAGGCATGAGCCAATAGACCAAAATGTATCCTCAATAGCTACCATAGCGTGCCAACATTTCGCTGGCATATCCTTGAGGCGATTGCCGCAGTAACGAGTTAGTATAAGAGATTAGCTTAATTCTAGTTGCGCTAACCTAAGGTTAATGTGGACACTCACTTGATATGGTGATGGAAACCTTGTCCTCGAAGACGCGCGAGGTCTGATTGTTGACCGCCTGACAGATGTAGACGCCAGAGTCGGCGATTTGCAGATTATACAAATGGAGGACGCCGCCCTCGATCTCCGCTGTGTTCGGCAGTCGGCTGTTCTGCTTGTACCAGCTGACAAAGACCGGATCCTGCAGCATAAAGCACAAGACAATCAAAAGCGATCAATCAATACATCATTTCCATGCACTTACATTATTCCACTTCATGCGACCGTTGCAGTGCAGGGACATGGATCCACCCACGGGCATTATGGTGATCTGTGGCTTCGATATCGACACTATGATCTGGGTGCGTATATTATCGGGCTGATCGGTTGGCGCTGGCTCCGGTGTTCCATAGTCTGATTGATTGTAGAATTATATCGATTAGATTTCAGGATTCGGTTCACATTTCAATTACACGTTAGAAATTCAACTCTTTACAATTTGGATTAGTGACACGGTTGCGGTTTATTAACGCTGGAGGTTGGGCTTGGTAGGAGATTTGATTTGATTTTCTTAATTTTTTGTTTTTTTTTTGGTTTTTTGTATAGGGTATAGCTTCCAAGTACGCATAGTTTTAGGCACCAACTACTACATAGGTCATATACCAAATGCCAGCTAAAACTTTGTTTTAACCAGCTCAAGAATACACTACAATAGGTTTCACATAAATCTCTATATATCTATATATATATATATATATGTTGTATCTTCATAGTACGAGATACGTCCGTGATCTTAACTCAAGGTGCGTGTAAATTTTGGGCTCCTCTTGTAAAGTTTGGTTAGTACGAGTAGCTAAATTTATAACCGACTACTTGAGAGCGACAGCGAGTTCTAGTACTAGAGAGAGTATTCAAAGTTTATTTATTTGTATTTTCTCATACCCTTGCAGAGGGCATTATAGTTTAGTAACAAAGCGGACTCCTACTTATTTCTATAAAGTTCGTCAAGTAACTTTGTCGGAGTTCGTCTTTCTGTTGCAGGCAGCACACATGTCGATCCAACTATATTCTCATTTGTCTATAAAGATCTTGTATTTGTTGCTTAGATATCTTCAACAAATCTTATCAAAATCGTAATACCATATCATATACAGTTCTATCGGAATAATAAATGGTAGTAAAATAAGTTAAGGTTTGTTTTTCAAGATAACTCAATCGTACTCAATCGGACTACTTAATTGTATCTGACTCCTGACCAACAATTGGCCCATCTGCAAGGGTATTTAATCTGCGGCTTGCCGCAGATAGCTCTTTCTTGTACTTTGCCTACAATACGAGTAAATGTTTATACACAGAGTTATCGAACTATGAATACATAGCATAGCGATGAGACACACAGATTTTCTTTATACACAAACAAAATACATTTTAAAGAGGTGCTAGAAAAAAAACTAAAACAAATTAAACAACAACATGGGAGTAGAGTTCAAGTCTAGGTTATCTAGAATTATTCAAGAGCACCGAAAAATAAACGCTGAGCGATTGAGCTATTACAGCGCTCTGCGGACAGAAACACAAAGAGAAACACATAGGAAGAGAAAGGGAGAGAGCGACAGAGGGGGAGAGAGTGAGAGTGAGAGAGCAAGAGAGGAAGGGAGTGCCCCTACAACAGAGTATACACAAAACGAATGGGCAGAGAGCAAGTGAGAGTACACAGCCACAACAACGCAGGGTTGCATTGCCTGATCAGCACAAAACGAAGTGGCAACACTGTGTGATTGCCGTGTGGCAACCTTGTTGCTCCTTTTTACTTTGTTTGATGTAATTATTTATTTTTGCCTTCACTTGTAAAGTAATTGATTAAATGCAAATATTTCTGCTCATTCGAATCGAATCTATAAGGATTGACGAGCAGCATAATTTTTGTTTTTCATTTTGAATGTATTATATCAAAGTTGCGGCAATGTACGCACTCTTCTTTTTTGCACAGTGTAGTGAATTCTTAGCTACTTAGTATGAGAACAATTGAGTAATTGACCAAATGATACTTGAGTTAAAGAGCACATTGGTTGGGAGAGGGGGGAATATTAGGAAACGAAGGTCTAACAGATGGAAGTGTGAGCACGTAAAATATGTGAATTGACTTATGGGTAGATGGATTTCTCTTTCTTGTTTTTATTTTTGCAGTGTAAGAGTAGTTTACAACAGCTGGTAAAGGGTAGACAAGGACAGAGCGATAGAAGAGACAGAGAGAGATAGAGAGAGAGAGAGAGCAGAGAGAGAGAGCAATAAAAGAGAGACAGAGAGTGGTAGTTGTTGTTGTTGTTGTTGTTTGTTTGTAGTGTTTGTTTGTTTGATTGATTGATTGATTGATTGATTGACTGATGATTGGCGAACCTCGCTGATGGCAGCCGTGGCGCAGTTTGGTTATATTTCCTATAACTCTGTTGCCCTTAATTATCTGTAGAGTGTCATTATACGATATTGTCTCGTTGGGCTCAATATCGAACCGAAAGCCGTTGCAACAGAATCCCCTGCTTATATCGCATATCTTGGGCGGTTCTTCAATAATGCGAGATGTGTCTAGAATGTGGATGGATTGGATGTTTGTTGTGATGATTTCGTATATTTCTCGAATATATATGATCGTAGAATTTTTTGTTGTTTTTTTTTTTTTTTTTTGTATATTTTTTCAAGTATTTTTTTTTTTTGGATGTGGACGGATGTGTGGTGAATAAAAAATAAAGTTGAAAGATATGTAGAAAATTGTATATAAAATGAGAGAGATCAGCTACTTAGCTTAAAGTAAGAAAGATATATGTATAAATATATATGGATAAGAGCGTTGAGACAGCAAGATAGGGAGAGGGTGAGTAAGAGGGGGAAAGAGAGAGAGAGAGAGAGAGGGGCGGGAAAAGCGTAGATCATAAGAGCTGGATCATGAATCGATTGTGTTCAAAGAGAACAATGCGTGGGTTCCGATTGGCAGGGCAGGGAGTCTGGTGCCCATTTAGACCAAACTTCATATTAATATATTTATTTTGCTTTTCTTTTTTTTTTTTTTTTTTGTATATCTTGTTTTTTGAATACCTATGCTTGGAGCAACTACTCACCGAAATCCTGGCAACGATCGCCTGTGAAACGTGCCTTGCACTGGCATTCGACATAGCCGCTGCTGCCGAGATAACAGCTCTCCGTATTATCCTCCTGGCAGGGACAGGCACGGCACTGTCCACTCTCTTCACGGTAGTGCAACGGTGCACAATTCTCGCACGAGTTGCCCGTATAGGCAGCTGGGCACTGGCAGAGCTCAATGTCGATGGCTTGCTCGGCGCCCGGCTGCGCCAGCTCCACAGATAATTCCCATGTCACGTCGCTAATGGAGGTCCGTGTGGTAGGTATTTTGGGTGTGGCACGTATCAGCAGATGCTCCAGGTTGGTCAGCACGCTCATGATGTCGCTACGTGTCGCCGGTACGGCGCTGCCGCTATCCAAACGCTGCCATTGCTCCTCCTCGCTGAGGCGGACACTGTACTCATCGAGATGGGACTCAGCGGCCGGTCTGGACCAGACCAGGCGTATGCCATTGCCAATAAGCACCACATCGTTGCCGGGCTCATAGTTGCCAAACGATTCCGTGACCAGAGTGTAGTTCAACAAGCCGCCATAGGCCTGCAGCTGATTGCCCTGGACATTGCCGCGCAGACTCCAGTATTTGGGCGAATACGATTGGTATGTGTAGGTGTACTTATTGTTGGGTATATCCTTGCTCAGATTCGTGTCATCCATTTCCATCTGTTGGCCGTATTCGTCGGTGATGAGCGCCTTGTTGCTAATAAAGTCAACGGCGATCAGCTGGCGATAGACGGAGGCGGACCGGCATTGGGTAGCCTGGCCCGAGCAATAGCATTCCTTGCAGCCATCCGGATGTAGCGGCGACAGACCGAAGGTGCCCTCGCGGCACTGATCGCAGCGACTACCCACCACATTCCGCCTGCAGTAGCAGACGCCACCGCGGCAGTCCTCGGTGCCGTCACTGTTGCACCAATGGCAACCACGCTGATTATCCGGTTCCGGCTGCGGCGGCTGCGGTCCATTGTTGTCCGGCTGGCAGTCGTAGGGTGTGCCACGGCTGGCATCGCCAATATAACCGCCGACACAGCGCTCGCAGTTCTCGCCCTCGGTATTGTCGGCACAGTTCTGTCAATGATAAGAGGAAAGGTTATCAGAAGCAGACCAAGGTTTAACGAAAGTTGCCAGGCTTGAAGTCGCTAAATAAATTGTCTGCAAGACTGAAATAGTTTAAACTGAACGTTGGGCAAAGACATTGATTTGAACCGCAAACTGAAGCAGCGAAAACGTTTCTTCACAAACTGTGAAAGCACAGGAATACCCTTTCTATCCTTACATACACTTGTTCTCTTCTTCAGATATGCAACAACCTTAACTTCCATTTAAGAAATGTTGTTTCAAGTGTTTTACACTTAAAAAAACGAGGTTCTAGATTGGTCTAGGTCATGCCACGAAGGACCGTATTAAATATTCCTTTTAGCTACCCTTTACTACCTTAGATTTTCCCGTGCTACCTTGCACTACCGGGTCTGCCAATACATATGGTAAAACCTATATAGGAACAAAGTATTCCATTGAATACCCTATAGGTCATCCAATAAGAACGTTCAGTTTCGCTCCATCTGCAGTGTGATAAGAATTTTGGCCCGCCGGGATCTTTCGTTGCGTGACCCCGTCGTTCAAGCTACTTCACACCCTCGAAGCCAATTGTTCTGTTGCACTTACCAGGCACTCGCCAGTCTCGGCATCGCATTGGGTGGAGTGGCCATTGCATTCGCAAGGCTCGCACAGGCCCAGATAGAGACCCTCCTCGGGATTGCGTTTGTAGCCGGGCGCACAGCGTTCGCAGGAGAGTCCAACGTAGCCCTGTGGGCAACGGCATTCCTCAACCTCGTAGGCGCGCTGAGTGCCCAAATTGTTGGCAGTGGCAATGTCCATGACGACCTGCTTGAGGGAGCCCTCCATGGTGCTGGTCGTGTACGTCGCCTTGATGTAGATGGCATCGATCTTGCTGAGCGCCATCAGCAGATGTTCGCGATTAGCCACTTGGCCATCGATGCGCTGCCAGGCGCTCTCAATGATGGGCACCGCATACGAGCTGGACGTGCTGGGGCTGACGGCCGATTTGCGATAATGGATAAGGGTTAGATCCTCGCCGCTCTTTATGACCACATCGGGTGCACTGTTGCGCGACATCTGACCACCAGGCAATGGACTGTAGCTAAGCGTATAGTTGAGGCGTCCGCCATAAGCGGTCAGCTTGTTGCCCAGGAACGGTACGGGCAGGCTCCAGTAGAGGGTGTCGGCACTGTAATCCGAGCTGGATCTGAAGCTAATCTCGTAGGCAAGCGTATCGAATGGCACGGGCTGTGGCGTCACGCGTGTATAATCGCGCACCAGCTGGAAACCGTGCGGCGCACGGGAACGTCCAAAGCTGCTGCTGACCTGTTCGCGATTCCAAGAGGTGCTGGTACAGTCCGCCTGCAGGCCACTGCAGAAGCACTCAATGCAGCCGGTATAGGTGAACGAGTTCAGGTGGAAGCTCTTCGGGGCACAGCTGTCGCAGCGATCGCCGGTGACCAGGGCCTTGCAGTGGCAGCTGCCATTGCTGTATTGGTTGTAGGTGCCCTCCACGTTGCATGTCGACTCGGGTGTTCGGTGGCAGGCACCGCCCGGTGCCAGCGGATTACCCTGATAGCCGGCGGCGCAGCTTTCGCAGCGTCTGCCAGTATAGCCTTCATAACAATTGCAGATGACATCGCCGTCGGGACTCAGCTGGCAGCCGCTGGCAAAGTTATTGCTGCCGCTCTGAGGGCAGGGGCAATCGCGGCAGGGCACACCACGGCGAGGATCACCATAGGTGCCGGCCGGGCAGGGCTCTGGCACGAAGGGTACACAGCGACCCAGCCAGGGACCGCCCGGCTGGCGTACATAACCCGGTGCGCAGCTCTCACACGAATCGCCAACATAGCCCGGCGGGCAGCTGCACTTCTCCACAAGGGAGGCGCTGCCCAGACCCTGATCCGAGGTGCCGGCTGAGTCCATGGCAATGTTGGTCAGCTCCACCTCACGCGCCACAGCATCAATATAACCCAAGCGTATCAGTATATTGTCCACATTTGCCAATATCATCATGATCTCCTCGCGTGTGGCCTTGCGTCCGTCGGGCTTTTGCCAGGTGCCGGGCAGGAAGCTGATCCTCACCTTGTTCGACTGATTGGGCTGGGTGCGCACGCGATTGGTCAATATGAAGCCGTTGCCCGTCATGATGACATCCGGTCCGGAAAGTGGACGCCCATTGCCCAAATAGCTAATCTCATACTTGAGCTCGCCACCGTAGGACTTCAGCTGATTGCCCATATAGTCGCTGGGCAGGGCCAAATAGGGTGTCTCGCGACTGTTGTACTGAACATCGGAGGCACGGAACTGAACGCCATGGTGCATGGTGAGCAGGCTGTGTCCGGTGCCCTCGTTAATAACAATCTGCTGATAGGGGCTCAGATCGACGCTGACCACGCGATGCGACAATATGGGCGGCTGTATGGCATAGCTAAAAAGATTGGCGCTCTCGCAAGAGTTAGCGACACCAAAGCAGAAGCACTTGATGCACTCCTCACTGGAACGGGCCAGCATATTGAAGAAGCCAGCGGCACAGAACTGATTGCGATCGGGTGTCACCTTCACAATGGTATCGGGCACCACAAAGTGGGTGCCGCGCGTATTTATGATCTCGCAGGAGTAGGCGCCGCTTTCCTTGTACTGCATATTGGGGCAATAGAGATCGCCGCGGCCGCCGGCGCTAGTGGACACACACTTGTCGGGCACATGGCCCCAGTTGAGACGCCAAACAATTGTCGGCGTGGGCACACCCGTTGCCGTACACGTCAGATTGAGGGCCTGACCCTCCAGCAGGGATTGCATGGGTGGCGGTGGGCGAATTGGCACGGGCGCCACTGTAATAGAATTTAATGAATATCTCATATGCTCTGTGGACTATGCCATGTGGCTACTTACTGCAACCGAACTCGTCGCTGCCGTCGCGGCAGTCGTTGACATCGTCGCACTGGAAGCTCTTGGGTATGCAATGGCCGCTAGAGCATTGGAATTCATTGTAGCGACAGGGCGCACCGCTGGGCTCGGGATCGCAGGACTGCTCATCGGAATTGTCACCGCAATCGTCTTCGCCGTCGCAGCGCCAGGTGCGCTCCACGCACTTTGAGTTGCTGCACAGGAACTGGTTCGGCTGGCATCTGCGTCCCTGGCTGCAGCTGTGCTCATCCGAGCCATCCGAGCAGTTGGGCACACCATCGCATATATCCGACTTCTCAATGCACTCACCGTTCATGCAGGTCGCCTGGTACTCGCTGCAGGCTGTTTGCGGGCGATCGTGTTCGACAGTGTTAACTGTGGAATAAAACAAAGCAAGGAAAATGTTTTAGCAAGGATCTTGCAAATTTTGCACATAAACCCTCTTACCAAAAAAGTGGCCAGGCGGCATTGGGCATAAAAAAGAGATTGTGTATTAGCTAAAGCTCTATCTACGTTCAGAAGCTGGAGTTGGTCTAGGCTCTATAGAAGTGATTTAATTGATTGATTGATTGATTGATTGACTGATTCATGATCAACGTAGATTTTTTTTACTCAAGCCATAATAAGGCTTAACTTTCACTTTTTATTGTGAAAAATGGTTGCAAGACACACTTTTGCTTTAAACTCTTTTTTAAGGATATGTGTAAAGACATGTTTTACAACCTTGGGAAAATCCATAAAATTGGGATGGAGATAAATGCGGGCCTATTCAAGGGTTGCAAAATGGGTGTAAAGTTAAATTCCCAATAAATAAATAAATATCTTGACACGGGCGAGGCCGCATGATACCGGATTATCGTGAATAATTGCGATTATTTTGAGAAAAACTCGCATCAATAAATTTGACTATAAATACAGATTTGAGTATATCCCAGTTTTAACTATAAGATCAAAAGCTAAGACGTCTGGGTTCAACATGGACTAAGGTCCTGTTAAATACTTTCCAATAGACCTACTCCAGCTCCGTATGTTGCACGCTTTTACCTAGACCAAAGAACTCAAGATCAATATGCGGCACAGTGCCGTATTTGATGCGATTCGACTTGGGCTCCTCGTATTTGTGCTCGCCCCAGGCTGCGTCCAAGCGTATTCGTTGCGAAAGAGAGCATTGAACAATGAAACCCAACCAAATACCCAGTAATCATATCGAGAATTACTTGATAACGTTACTTACAGCGTTCGACAGTCAGATGGACGGTGACTTGTTGACCCTGGACGTAGCTCGGATAGCCAACCGCTTCGCATACATAGGTGCCAGAGTCCTCCAACTATAAATATGTAAATGCATGATTTAGTATGCCAAACGTTAAGATTTTCAAGAGACAAACTTACGCGTATGTTGGGTATTTCCAAACGTCCGCCCTTGTCGGTGAAGCCCACGGGCAGGGGACGACCGCCGGGACGTGACCACCTAACCTTGGCGCGGGCTGGACCCTCGTCACGGCAACGGAAGATTACCTCGCGTCCTGCATGCCACAATAATTATCATTAGCCAGGCATAAGTACATTTATATATATATATATATATTATGGAGTAAACACATATCGGGAGCATTGCGAGCAAATTACTGGATCTAGTTGGGACTATCATACATATCGCTGCGGGAATCGTGGTTCAATGTGTGGGTGTGTGGTTGGGAAAAGGGGAATTTACAAATTGCGTTTGTGGTCTAAGGTTTCTAGCGGGCGGGTGCTGACAGAACTAATAATACGAATTTCGACAGAATTGTACAACGCCGGACCTGTAGCCAATTTGCTGTGGTGCAGTGGTGCAGCGCGGTACGAGACGAGTGTCTAATATTTATATTGTGTGTGTGTGTGTGTATGTGTGTGTGTGTAGTTAGGCCAACTTACCCTCCCTAATATATCCTGCAGGTATTTAATTTATGGGTTATGTCATTTTGGTTGGGTTAAGCATTAAAAGTAATGGTAGAACATTATGTAGAGTCAAAAAAACGAATGGAAACAAAAAAAAAAAAAAAAAAAATCAACTTTCTTCGTATGCGATCGAAGCTTAGTTAAAACCTTGCAAAAGAAAGATCCACAGCGGCTGGAACTGCCAGAGTAACTGAGTTATCGATAACTGTTATCGATGACATACCAGGAGTTATCGGTATCGTTGAGGCAATTAATCGATAACAGACAATGCGCTTCTCATATCGCAAAATACAACAGGCAGCAAATTATCGATACCATTTATCGAGAGTATGTTAAGAGCTATCGATACCGTGGGTCGATGGCAATGAGTTATCAATATCAGACGAGGTATCAATACCTTGAATCGAATGCAGACTAGTTATTGATATTATCTATAGTTCGCAAAGGAGTTATCGATACGGGCTGATCAGCATCACATTAGCCGATATTGTTTACAGAAAGTAGACACAAAATTATCGATACTCTTTGTCAATAGACATATTTAAGACGTCATAGCCAACACACAGTTGTTGCGATCAACAAACTAATTGTTATCGATATCGTATATCGATATAAAATCAAAATTCTTTCTTTTGCCAGGCATTCATTAAGTTTGCTTTTCAAAAGTCTTTGCCTTTAACCATGTTAAACATAAGCAACTATCACCGTCGATGGACAGATCCATACTTACTTTCTTTGATGATCTGGCTATCGGGATAGGTCTTCAGGTTCAGCTGATTGCGTCCGGCTGGCGACGGGTCGGAAACTGTCAAGAAAGAAATGGAAGAGCCGCATGTCAGCACAGTGTTAAATATTGGACAACAAAAGCATAGTTAAAGCTCAGTATTATGGGTATTATCGAAAGAATAGAAAATATATATTATATTATAGTTTTAATAGCACTGCGGCGCCCTTGTTCGTTTAGTACGCTTTGATCGATTGGTTAGCTTGAGATTGTGAATTATAGTTGGGTGGGGTTTTTTTTTTTTTTTGCTGACACCGTTTTGTTTGGGTTCGGTTGACGGGTCGATGACCACTTACTATCGATCTCATTAGTGATGGGCTCACAGTCCAGCTCATCGCTGGCATCGAACGGACAATCGATAACACCATTACAGCGCAATCCGTGCGCCAGGCAAGGACCGTGCTCACACCGAAACATGCTCGGTGGGCAACTGTTGCGCTTTCCACCCATCGACATCGTTGTGATGGCCACCACAGTTGTGGTTGTGGCTGTGGCTGGTGTTGTGCTGCCTGTTGCGGATCTGCTGCCAGCTAAATGTTGATGAGCGCATATTGATCAGTGATCAATTATGATGATAATGATGTTGATGATGATCATGATGTTGACGATGATAAAGCAAGCTGCTTGCCATTGCCCAAGGGCCCAAATCGGAACCGGCTACTTACCACAATTGTGCTCATCGGAGCTGTCCTGACAGTCGGTCTTGCCATTGCAGCGCAACGCCTGATTGACGCACTGGCCGTTCCGGCAGCGGAACTGGTTCGGCTGGCATTGCATTATATCGCAGTTCTCCTCGTCGGAGCCATCCATGCACTGGGTAAAGCCATTGCAAACATCCGTCTGGGACACGCAGTCGCCATTGCGGCAACGGAACTGATCCGCAGCGCAGCCTGTCAAAGTTATGAAAAAATCAGCAATTAGCAACTGGCTTTTGGAACAAGATCTTTACGGATCTCTCTACAGCTGGTAGCTAGAAACTTTATAGGAAAAAAACAGTATAGCATATAAAGATATAAACAGTTTATGTTTGAATAATCAGAATTGTAACCAAAGTATTTTTTTTTTTTTGCAAAGAGTGCATACACATGTGTAACTCGTAGAGCTGGCTTTAAACTGGGACTATAATACTTTTGGGTAATTGAAGTTTTTCTTTTTTGGCATTTGTTTTTTTTTTATCAGTTAGCATGCAATTGGCTTAGATAGAAACTAGAGAGAATACAACTAGAACTAAAGACTACTAACTACATTACGGGGGATATAGGCAAAATATGAGCTTTGAATAATTTGCATAAAATATTATTAACCAATACAGTTCTGTTCATCGGAAAAGTCTTTGCAGTCGTAGAAGCCATCGCAGTGCTGTGTTGCATTTATGCAAAACTGTCGATCGTAACAGGAAAACTCGTTATCCTTGCATTGAGTACCTGTTTTATTTTTATTTTTTAATTTTATTTATAATTATATAATTATAATTGGTGCAATTTTGCCAACACAAATTTGGTTAAAAGCGAAAAACCAAAAACAAATAGAAACATGTCAGAGATAGTTAAAAAGAGAGAAAGAGAGAGAAAGAAAGAAAGAGATCACAATAATGTACATTGCATTTAGATAAATTCATATTAAAGGTGAATGTAAGCCAGTGACACAGTAAGAGAGAGTGAAACAGAGCGTGAGTGTGTGAAAAAGAGAGAGTGAAAGAGAGAGAGAGAGAGAGAGAGAGAACAACATTGATCAGCAACTTAAAACATTAAGCAATACGATTACATCCATCAATAACTAACTCAAGGTGCCTGTGCCATAAAAGAAATGCAAATAAAAAAATTGTCTTTGCCTAACGGAGACCATAAATTAAGAGAAATTTATGCCCAAATAGATATACATATGCTGTTAACATAATATCGATAAATATCGCTAGAGTATATGGAGATTATGTTTCCTATTTCCCAAAAATGAAAAATAAAAACGAACTTTTAAAGTTGAAGCCTTGCGCTTTGGTATGTACACAGTTTTGAATTAGCTCTAAAAATTTCATAGAGATCGGACCTCAAGCACCGATTAACTTCGCTTAACTTAACAGGAATGCTTTTACCATACACAAAGTGGCCGAAAGGAAAGAGGAAGCACAGCTTCCTTGTGTGTGAAATTGTTTACTTGCATGAAAGGGTATCTTCTCGTCTGGCACTTCTATTCGTTTTCATACAAAAACTTGAAATGATTTCAACAAATATTAAATAAACTGCACCAAAAACTTTTCCACATAATGTTAAAATTCTTAATTTTTGTTTGCCGAAGTTTAAATACCCTCACAGTAAGAATTAAAAAAAAAGTCCTTAGAATATGTTAAACAGATTGCATCAAACAATCGCCCAAACAATATGCCTATTGGGCTATTCAAGCAAAAGTTAGTTGTAGCTTAGAAAGAAGTTGGTTTTTTTTTTTTTTAATGACATATTGTTAATAATTTGTTCAAAATTGTGGGTTAAATAATACATTTAGATGATGTACATTGAGGAACTGTGTTCAGTTCGCGAGAAATTATGCCAATGGTAGCTTAATGATATGTTAGTACAATAATGTCAATATGATTTAGTTTGGATGTAGGGCTTGACTTTCCTCAGACAATATTTTCATATGCCCTACAAGTGTAGAGTATTTGAGCTAAATACAAATCTAAATCTCCCGTGGCAAGTATTTTATTCAAGCAGTTTTTCTTATTTTTTCTTTTTTTTTTTCAAATCAAGAGTCTGTTTTGGAATATATTGAAGTGCATTCAAGAATGAAATGGGCTTGATATATATATTTATAGCAGAAAACGGTGCTTAGGTGAATTTAAAACATTTTTTTTCGCTGAAATTGTTTTTCGCAGTCATTTCAAGAATCTTAACGATAACATATTTCCCGAGCACTTAGTTCCTTTCAATGTAAAGCAAGATGCCCTTTTGGATTCCACATATCTTTATGAACCTCGGATTGTTACTAAATTTTAACTTTTTCAATTTATTCAGATTCGCGATAAAACTGAGCTGTCCTCATCAGGCCCTGAACTGCAAAATACCCTGACGATAAACATTAATCTAGAGCTTAGTTCCTCTCTATGCAAAAGTATATATATCGGGATCTAACAGATCTTTTTGAAACTCGGACTGTAACAAAGTGTTTCCTTTATCAATCTATTGAGATTTGGGATAAAACTGAGCTGGAACAGTCCTAAAAATGATCTCAGAGTTGGTCACACTTTTTTTTTATGTATGCCCCTTTCTTTGAGTGTAGTGCATAGCCCGTTATGAAACTTAATGAGTAACGAGATTTTGTGTGTGGTTCAATGTTTGGAGTTAAGATTGAAAATGAAATACTCACAATTTGCCTCATCGGAGCTGTCTTCGCAATGACGACGGCCATCGCAGCGTTCGCTCTCCGTGTAGCACCTGCCACTGGGGCAAGTGTGCTGTGGACAGGGCAGCGGTTGGTACAATGGATGACGTGTGGTATGCAAATGGCAGTCGCGCTCATCGCTGCGGTCTGTGCAATCGATATGTCCGTTGCAGTATATCGAACGATCGAAGCACGACTCATCGCAAAAGAATTGATCCCGGCGGCAGTCATCGGCGGTTAGCCGATTGGTGGCTATGATTGCGAATGCGATTGCGATTGCGTTTGCGTTTGCATGCGATATATATTGATGATTGTTTGTGTGTGTGGTGTGAGGTGTGTGGTATCGTTATCGATCCCGATAACAATCAACGATTATGCGTGTTCGATTTTAAAGCATAACAAGAAAGAGAGACAAGAGAACAAAGTGAGCAACGGCTTGTTAAATGGGCAGCAGTTGAGATTAATAAAGCAGCGCTTTCAGGTACAAACACAACCGCACTTAGTTAATACTTTATAGACATATACAAACCTGTGCGATATATATCGTTATCGCTGTTATCGATACTTAACTTACGGCTAGGCACTTAGAACTAAAGAGGGTAGGTTGTTGGATCATGTTTGGACTCGACGGCAATTTGATTGGTTTGTTGGGAAATTTGTCTGGTGATGGTTGTTAGAGGGGAGGACGTGGGGTGGTGGTGAGGGGGGCTTGAATTGGAATCGTGTGTATCGTTACCCTGTCCCAAGCAATTAACCGCCAATTCATCCGATTCGTCCGTGCAATCGGCTTGTTTGTCACACAAAAAATCGGCGTTAATGCATTCAGAGTTCGCGCATTGCCATTGATACGGTTGGCAGGTTTTAGTTCTGGTTGTGTTTCTAAAATTGTTGTTGCCAGCTGTGTGTGTGTCTGTGTGTGTAGATGTGTGTGTGTGTGTGACGTTTGTTAAAACAAAACAACAAAAATAACAAACGTAAAAAGAACGCATGAGGATTACAAAAATTATGCAGAATGTTTGTGACTTGTGAGAGCAACAGAATAAGAGAGCGAGAGAGAGAGATAGAGAGAGAGAGAGAGATAGAGAAATAGAGAGAGGGGGAAAGAGAGAGAGAGAGAGAGAGAGAGAGAGAGAGAGACAGCAAAAGAGAAAGCGAGAAATGAGTTCAAGTGAGTAGGCGCAAGATGAGCGTGAAGTTTATGCAAGAGAGCATGTGCGAGCTCCAATAGAGCTGCTAAAAGAGTTATCGATACTTATCGATGTTAGTTTAAAGGTTTGAAAATGGTTCACAAATAATAGAAACCAAAATTTAAAAAAAACGCAGGCAATGCGAGTATCAAAAAATTTAGATATGCTGTTCTAAAAGTTATCGATAGCCAGGCGAAATTTATCGATAACACTTAGTTATCAAAAAAAAGCGCTCGTAAGCTAATTTAGCGGCCAAGCAGAAGGCATAATCTTAGCCATAGCAGAGCTGCTGGAAAAGTTGCCGATAACAACAACAAAACATGTCGATAACAAATAGTTGCGAATGGAAAAACATGTAAAAAGTAAAATATGCAAAAAGTTATCGAACGTGACCTATGTGAAAGTGTTAAAGCAATGCCGAATAAGAGCTGTCACTGCACAAATATTTATCGATAGCTATCGATTGGTAGAAATCGAAAGGTTAGAAATATATATTGAAAAGTCAACGCAGAAAGTTGCAAGTAAATATTGAAGCTAGAGATAGATATGTATATGTAATTGTTACCCGGACAATCGCGCTCATCGATGCCATTGTCGCAATCGAATTTACCATCGCATCGCAGCGACCAATCGAGGCAGGCGCCGTTGCAGGCAATCTGATAGAGCGTACAGCCGCTGCCTTCAAAATTGCAATATAAATCAATGAAAAGATTGTAAAAAAATATATATTTTTAAAAAACAAAACGACAACAAAAAAAAAAAGTAATCGCTGTGCGCAAAAACTACGAAACTACTAAGTAGACAAAAACAAACTACATTTTCGGCAGAGATCAAGAATACAACAGAGATATTCAAAATAAGTAAATGTTGCTACTTCTACGAGCTACGGGCTACAGTTGCAGTGCTGGGGTATATCTGATATGGGGAACAAGGTAGGGTATTGAGAGGTCTTAGTAGTTGGTTTTCGTTGGGTTTCTTTGGTTTTGTTTTGTTTATGTGCTTACCACAGTTGCGCTCATCGCTAGCATCGGTGCAGTCAGCGATGCCATTGCAATGCAGCTGGCTGGCAATGCAATCGCCAGTGTTGCAGCTGGCGATTGTGCGATAGGTTTATCGATTGGCGATAATGTTCATGATGACGATGACGATAATGATGATGGTGACGCAGACGTTGGTGATCGTGTGTAATTGTGTGCATATGAGTGTGTGTTTGTGTGTGCATAAAAGAATATATATATATATAAAAGAGTTAAATGCGAAGGGCTAACGATATTGTTGCTTGGGCAGCCGATATTGGAACATCTCTTACAGATAGGCATCATTGCGACAAGAAGTACAGTTGCGCTCATCGTTGCCATCGTTGCAGTTGGCAATACCGTTGCACAGCTGATCGCGTGGTATGCAATAATCATCGCACTCGAACTCGTGCTCTAGACAATGTTCTGCAAAATGACGATGATCACGATTATGTGTGTGAGTGTGTGTGAGTGTGAGTGTGTGTGAGTAACATAAATTAGAGTGGACCAAACTGTACACTCTAAAGCTGTGTTAGGCAAGTGGCAACACTTGTGTTTGTTTGGAATATTAGCGAAGCAGTTCTTAACACAATATACAGTAAAGCCTCGCTGCGTGTGTGTGTGTGACATATATGAGTGTATGTGTGTGTGAGTGTGTGAGTGGGTGTGTGTATGTTTACCTGTAAAGGCCGGACAATCGAGCTCATCGGTTTCATCTTGACAGTCCGCATAGCCATCGCACTTCTTCTCTAAGGGTATGCACTGGCCAAAGTCACACTCAAAATAATACAGATCGCACTCGTTCAATGGATCATTGTCGGGGTCTGTGTCTGAGTCACTGTCTGATATATATATATATGCGTATTTGTACATGGGGCAATGTGTATGCAAAGATGATGAAAAAAAAAAACAAATATATAAAGTATAATTGTAGCGTCAGTAATGCGGCAACTCTCTTGCTCCAAATTGGTCTATATCTTTGTTTTGGTTATTTTTTTTCTAATTTTTTTTTTTTGAGGTTAGTTTCTAGGTAGTACCGTAGTTCGTCTCGTAGTTGATCAGACAGTTGTACTCATCGGCGCCATCGGCGCAGTCGGTGATGCCATTGCAGCGCTTATAGCCGGAAATGCAGCTACCGTCCCCGCATTGGTATTGGAAGCTCTGGCATTCGATGATCGGGCGGCTCAGATTGAATTTGGCATGAAAGTCTGATGGCATGATGGTGTTTGTATGATGGTATGACGGATGGTTGTTGTGTTTGTTGTTGTTGTTGTTGTTGTTGTTGTTGTATACAATATGGAGCATAGTTCACAGAGAGCGAGACAGAGACAGTGAGAGAGCGAAAGAGAGACGACGACACAGTTCAGAGCGCATATATATTGGGTTTTTTTTTTTTTTGTTTTTTTTTTGCAGTTTAAAGCGCGGAGCGTAAAAAGAAGAAGAGAAGAGAGTACAGTTAGCGGCATGAAAACTAAATATGTTTTTAACTCTTCAAAAATGTTGGCGCGGGATTTCGGATGTGGGCGGTAGGGTATTTGGGGGCGGGCATAAGTTTGTGGCTGTGGTGCATTCATATATTTAGCAAAATTATAAATACTTAGTTGGTTATGCTTAAAAGTTAAAATAACTCAAAAATACCGAGCCAAAGAAAGCTTATGTTATGCAAAAAATACTAGAAAATAATAAAAATAAAATACTCTAAGAAATTGTTTGCTTAGCAAATAAATTAATAAGATTAATTGGTGTAAATAAATATATTTAAATAATATATTAAAATCGATAACGCATTTGGAATTAGTTTGGTTTAAATTTGTCAAAGAGCAGCTCTGCTGAAGAGGCTCACTAGTCGTGTCACGACACGCGCCCATCTCTAAGCGATATTTAGGATTATTTAATATTACGATATATCCATACCGAACAGAAAATATAGTTTAAGTTTAGTAAGTTAGGCAATTAGTTCGTTGCGTTAATAGCCAGGCTTGAGGTGCACGTGTGACCATTTGAGGTCGAGGGGTCGGGGGGGGTTGGTATTGTGCGTACATGGGAAATGCATGAATTGGTAAAGCAGAAATTCAGTGGTTTGCTACTTACGACATGCGCTCTCATCGCTGCCATCGCGGCACTGAGATTTGCCATCGCAGACTTGGGTTTTGGGTATGCAACCGCCGCCGCGCACACATTTATACTGAGAAAACACATGTATTGTTTATGTATGTGATGCGTCTGTGTCTCTGTGTGTGTAAGTGGGTGTGTGTGTATGAGGGATGGCACTTACCTTGTCACTGCTGCAATTGCATAGTGCATAATCCTCGTCCTCATGCTCTTGGCAGTCGGGAATGTCATCGCAGACGCTCTCAATCGGAATGCAATCGCGATTGTGGCACGCGAATTCAATGTTTTCGAGGCAATTGCTGGGCAATGATGATGATGATGATGACGATGATGATGACGATGACGATGATGATGAGCTGTCTATAAAAGGTGTTTGGTTTTTTTGATATTGTGTGGATGTCGGGGTCGGTGTTTGGCAAGACATATTTTTAATAATACGAGCGAGCAGGTACATGAATAACATAAAAAAAGAGAAACAAGAGAGTTACAGTGAGTGCATGAGAAAGAGAGCGAGAGAGAGAGAGAGACAGAGGGGGGGGGGGGGGGGGGAGTATGTATGTGTGTGGCAATTATAATTAAAAACAAAAAAAAAAAATAGTGGCGGTATATTTAAAAATAACGTAACATTAAATGCTAAATTAAATGTTTTACTTTATATCTAGTTGATTGCTTTTGTGTGTTTGTGTGTGGTTTGTTCGTGTATGTGTGAGCTTAAATTAAGTAAATTTCAATGTACAATGCTAGAATCACAAACATGGCATGCACTTTGTTGTGGAACCCGTCTTAGCTAAAGAATTACACCAGCACCCAAACGGTTAGCGCAGCGCAGCAACTCGTCACTCTTTACTCGCTGCTAACAACTCATAACTCGCTGTTGGCAACTCGTTACTCGCTGAAAGCAGCTGGCTATTCGTTACTGACTGCAAGCAACTCGTTACTTCCATGTGAGCATGCATTACTCGCGGCTAGCAACTCGTCACTCGTTACGCGCTGCAAGCAACTCGTTACTTTCATGTAAGCATGCATTACTCGCGGCTAACAACTCGTTGCTCGCTGCTCGTTACTCGTTAATTGAAACCCAAACTACTTGCATTGCTTACTCGCTACCTGCTGGACGGTTTTTCGTTTTACCCAAGCATTTAGAGTTGCAAGACAACTCGATACACGTTACTTTTAGGCATAAGACACCTACTCGTTAGAACTCCTCTCGTTGTTATTGGTATTGGGTTAGTGGTTGGACGCGTGCCTGCTGTTACTGTGTATGGTGATTGTGTCGTCTCTGTTGTCTGGCGCTCCAGTGAGGCCGGCGGCACCTTTGCCCAGTAATAGGGCGTCGGTGCGGCCGTCACGGGTCGCCTGGTGGTTGCTGGACGCTTATAGCGATCGCAATTATCCTCGTCGCTTTTGTCGTTGCAGTGGTAGCTGCCATCGCAGCGCAGATGAAGCGGTATGCAGACTTTGTTCCCGCATTCGAATTGATTGGTGGCGCACGGATTTTGGGGACTTGACTTTTCGTATAAGTCATGGGGAAGGTACAGTGAGAACTCTTTCGCATCGAGCTCGTGCATGCCGATATGCATTTTGTTATCGTTATCGTTATCGCGACCAATTTTCGGCGGTGGTCGCGGACGGCGATGGTCTGCATAATTGCGTATAATGCCATTGCTATCGACGGTATCGGGTTCGTATTCGTTGACATCGTTCACATCTGTGAGCCGCATGCATTTGTCGTTGTTATCGGTTTTGGGGGTCGGGTAAGGATGTGGAGATGGTAACCGCATGCAATACCGTTGGTATATATATGGACACGGGATTGTGATATTTGTGAGATGGATTGGACATCGTTATCGATTTGATTTGTTTTTTTTTTTGTTTTTTTTTTTTTGTGTTTGTTAAGTTTAGAGCATGCAAATTTTGCAGTTGAGCCAATTGATGTTGTTGTTGTTCCAGTTGCGGGGAGTTGGATTGTAGTTTTTGTAGCGTGCAATTAATCGATTAGTTTTTGGACATTCGATAACCACAACCACAAACGTTCAAGTTTGTTCACATATTTTCGTAATTTTATCGGATTTTGTTTTATTTTTTTTTTTTATTTTGTTCAGGTCGAATTGGGAAAGAAGAGAAATAAAATGTAAATTTGTTAAGTAAAAAATCATAATTTTTGGCAGTTGACACGCATAAGAGCTACCACAAAGACGCGTAAGCATTCGATAATAAATAATTATCGAAAAAGAAGCGATACACAAGGAGAAACACATAGGGAAGAGTGTAGGCGAAGATATTGAGAGAGTCGCTGTAAAGATTGAGCAGTCACCAAGAGTTACCAAATATAAACAGAGAACCGCGGTAAGCAATACACACAGAAGCTTATTTCATAACAGAGACGCTTATCGATAACAATGACAGAGACGGAGCACTTACCGCAGTCTTGCTCGTCTGAGTAATCGTTACAATCGTAGATATTATCGCACACCTGACGCACCGGTATGCACTCACCGTTCCCGCAGCGGAACTCAGTAAAATGACACTGATCATCGGCATCGTAGCCACCTGAGTGTTGTGTAATGTGTTATCGATAACCGATAGTCGGAAATGGGTATGGATATGCCAATGGATGGGTTAGTGATGCGCTGTAAATGTGGTGAGTTTTTCGAGGAAGTGAATTGGAATCGTCGCTGGGGCCTCGCCTGTAGCCTGACAGCTGACAAGGCACAAATCGATAAGTGCAAGACAGTGTTGTGTAGCGATAAAAAGTAGGGTAACATAGTAACAGCGTTGACAGCACGCGTGACCAACTTACCTGCGAGTGTGGCACTCACTCTCGAGCAACTACGACAGTCAAACACGCACGCACACATTCACACACGCACACACACTCACCCTCACAGTAGCGTTCATCGGATATATCCTCGGGGCAATCGATGTTGCCATTGCAGAGCATCTCCTTGGCAATGCAAGTGCCATCGTCGCATTGCCATTTGTCGTATAGACAGGCTGCATGTGAGCAATGGGCGAGAAGGAAGCAGAAGAAAGGTGGATGGAAAAAAAAGAGGGGGATAGAAGGTACGCAATGTACAGCACATATCAAATTGAGAGAGAGGGTGTTCAAACATACGGCAACCCTCCTCGTCGGAGCGATCGTGCGGACAATCGGCGCGTCCATCGCAGCGATGCACAATCGAAATGCAGCTGAGATCGCGACAGGTGAATTTGCCCTTGGGGCACGTGTAGCGCAGCTTTGGCACAACTGAGCAGCATGGCAGAAAAGTGCAAAAAATCAGGAAGAGAGAGTGTATGGAGAAAGGAAGAGCAAAATAGTAAAGGAATGAGCAAAATGCAAATGATTGATTGATTGATTGATGCATGTGCGCTGATGTACACACTAGATTTCAAAAGTATAAAGCAATTTGTATACTATAAAATCATATCAAATGAGGTAAAAACTTTTATTTTATTCCACATTTGAATTTTTCCTGAATGGAGAGCTCTGTCAATCATTTGATACCTCAATGCATAGTGATAGTAGAAGCTTTATGATTGAGCTTGCTTGACAATCATTTTATTTTAGGCAACAGATTGTTCTGCCTAAATACTGTGCTTCAGACATCTGGCAGCACCAGAAATAAATCATGTGCAATGCTTCAATCAAATGTGATTGACAGTAGCAGAGACAGACAGAGAGAGAGCCAGAGCGAGTGAATAGTTTCGACAGTAGACTTTAACTTTTGGAATCTGTGTGCTCAGCAAATGTATGCATTATTTTTGTTTTGATGAATTGATTGATTGATTGACTGGTCGTCGTCCGGCAATGATTGATACTCACTTCCTTCGCAGTGCTCCTCGTCGTCGGCATCGTTGCAATCGGCGTGGCCATCGCATTGCTGGCTGACGCTGATGCAGCGGGTGCCATCGCGACATTGATACTCCATGCCGCTGCAGGCGGCGGCTATTGTGGGCGTTAGTAACGTTGGGCGTATAACGGTAATGGGGTGTTTTTTTTTATTATTTATTTATGTGTTAGTTGTTGCCCCCATTAGCGAGCGGGCGGGCGGGCGGGCGGTAGTGAGAGAGAGAGAGAGAGAAAGCGGAGAGAGTAAAAATAATTTGGTTAGTGGTTAGTGGTTAATAACTGTGGTTAATCGGTGTGGCTTATGGGGACAGTTACCGTAAGCAAACTTAGGCTAATACGGGAAGATTACAATGGCTACGACCGGTTATCGGTTATCGGCAATCGGTAGCGGTTATCGATTATCGACTATCTAAATGGCTTACAGCTAAAGATCTTAGTCAAACTTAGTATTAACGCATAGACGTATCCAAAATACTTTGGGCTAACGTCTACCAAAAATATATACGTACATACATATATGTGTGTCTAGGGTGTGTGTGTGTGTGTGTGTGTGTGTGTGGTGTGTGTGTAGGGTTTTTGGCATTTAATAGATCTGTTCTCAGTCAACAACTTACGGCATTCTTCGCCCTCATCCTCGCCATCGGGACAATCCTTGACATAGTCGCAAAGCTTGCTGGCCTCAATGCACTGTCCATTGCGGCATCTATATTCGCTGGCACTGCAATCTGCAAGGGGCATAAGAAAGGTATTCGAGTTAAGTTTTATGCATACATATATGTATATACCCTGTAAATATGAGTGAATGAACAACAAAAGTGTGGCACACAATTTGTGCTGTTGCACGACACAGTCAATAAAGTCTGTGGGCTTTAGCTTTTTGAGTTAACCCATTGAACTCGGGCATTAAAAATGTGATTGCTGTGAAATTTGGTATGTGGGTTCCTTTTTATCTGTTGCTGAAGCATACTTAATTTTTAGATAATCCGCAGAACAGTTCTTGAGTTTTTCAACCACACTCATTTAACTCAGTTACTATAAGTCCAAAGTTGTTATGTGGGCTCCATTTTATCTGTGACTGCAGCATACTCTATTTCTTGGTTATACGCACAACTGTTTCGCAGGTCTACGAAATAGTTTGAGCTCACAGAGTATGGAGGTGGGGTATGTACACACTTATTTTATATATAAAACGATTTTACTAAATAAATTGAAAGAGCATAATTTTTGTATTTTTTCTTATCAAAAGTGTGTTTGCTGCAACCAAATTGCAGGGTATTAGACGGCACAGCACTTTTTTTGTGGCAGATATATGGGTATATTTTGGAAATATATATTCTTGGACTGGCAATGGTGCAATTAGCCCTCAACCGGATGCAGTTTAACAAGCATTTCCCACTTTTTCGTCAAATTTGTCAGTTGCCAACTTGAAAGCAAAAGTTTGTTAGGTGTCTGTCTTTGGCTGTGTGTGTGTGTGTGTGTTGTGTGTTGTGTGTTGATAAGTTGATAAGCCTGACAACCTACTCGCACTGACACAGCGACCATGCCACACCTCCAGCTCCGGCTACAGCTCTGCTAAAGCATCGTTAGCCACAGTTTCCTGTGCATGCTTTTGCCTTTTTGAACCCTTTTTTTTTTTTCTTTTTTTTGCTGTGTGCCTGCCCCGCCCACTGCTGTTGTTGTTGGACAGGACGCCGCCTTAAATTCCAGTCAACTTAAGCATTTTCACAAATATTTTTCACACTTTTCATTCATCTTCTGCCGCCTGTTGTTGCCTTTGCAACACAAAGTGGCAAGCAACGCGGATTTGATTACAAGAGAGCGAGAAGTTTAGCCAAGGGAGGGAGGCGACAAAAAAAAAAAAAAAACTCACACAGAAGGAGTTCAAGGGTGGTTGGAGAGTTGGAGGGAGGTGGGGAAGGATGAGAGGGCTGTGTAACAACAGAGAGCAGCGGCTAATTAAAAGCAAAGACAAGAGGCGCACGCCAAAAACTGGGGGCGTGTCACTTGGCTCAAGTGTAATCAGAGCTAGCTTTCAGTTTTTTTCAGCTTCAGCTGCCTCAAGCCAAGAAAATAACAGAATATATATACATATATATATATATACGTTATACGTTAAATATATATAAGCAGGTATATATAATTTGCAGATTATAGCAACAATTAGCGGGCATTTAATTTGCAACAGATACTTGGTCCATGGCAAAATGTCAAAGAGAATAGAAAATAGTTCAAATTGAGGGTTTAAATATCCATTGCACACTTTTAGGGTAGACATTTAAAAATCAGTCTAAATATAGCTTTAAATAGAACATAACTAAATTAAGTATTTCAACTGATCTACTTAAATAGTTACAAGCTGGACGTGGATATACTTCAATATTTACAGGGTAAAAGGTTAAAGCCTAGCTAGTTTCTGAGTGTTATCATTTGTATACCCTAAGTTAATTGAAAATGGGTAAAAAGAACAACATGGTCTTGTGCAAATGTATGTAACGGACAGAAGAAAGCATCTCCGAGTCCATAAAGTATATATATTCTTGATCAGCATCAAAAGACGAGTTGAAATTAAAACTTGAAATTGAACGAAGATCTTCCTCTTGCCCGCGCAGCACGAGTTTGTATCCGATAATCGCTAACTTTCCCCGTTTTCAAGCAATCGATTCAGTTCGAATTCCTGTTTTTTTTAAGAAATATATAATCAAGTATATTTCATCTTATAGCTGCATTTGGGGTGGATAGAAACAGATTGAGGGTTTTTAACTTAATTCTGCTCTACATGCATTCACTTTTATGGCCTTGTCTAGTTTTGTTTGGCTTTGGTAAAAAATGTATCGAAGGACACATCGAAGTGGACATTTCCCAGCTGAAAAGTCCAGCTGTCACATCAATCACATAACTCAAAAGAGTGTTTTTGATATCTGCTTCCATTTTCATCATATCGATAAATATCGATTTCGAGGCTTGATTTTCTAAGCATAGCTTGAAGATTATAAGAGCTAACTACCCCAAGCTTGGCATATAGCTTCTCGTAGAGTCAACACAGACTGCGAATATTTCACTTCACCATGATATTATTATGCAAATCGGAACCGAACACATTTAAAAAGGACATAGAAAGGCAGAAGCACAGCTGCTGTGCGTATGTCTAGAAAAGGACTCGAGTGCGTGCAATGCCAGCCTGGCGCTGAGTGCAGGGCATCTTCTGGCCAGGCAGCCAACTCTTCTTTGCTTTTTGGCTTAAATATTTGTATATTTGTTTTGGAAATGTTTGCTTCTGTTGCTTTTTTTTCCAATCTGATTGCCTTGGCGCATTCAATTAATGCAAATGCCTTCAGCTGGCTTCAGGTGAGGTTTGCGATTTCTTGTTCGTTGTTTTTTGTCTTTTGTTTTTTTTTTTTTTTTTTTTTTTTGTAGGGTTCATTGGGGCCATTGGCCGCCATAAATCAACAATTGTCGTCGTCGTCGTCGTGGTTAACTGCAGCGCCAACTTTAACTACTTTTTGGGCGCTCACAAATCGGTAAAGTTTTGTTTTTTGCTTTGCTGCTCGCAATTTACAACACGAAGCTGGCAAAAGCGTTTTCTTATTATTATTGCGAAGTTTGTCTATGGCGCAATTGGCACGCCCTCGCACCCTGCCACGCCTACCAGGCCGCAAGAATGCGCTTTGACAATTCCGTTTGCGCCTCAAAGCATGCAACTCAATTTGCAGACCAAGCAAAAGCGGCGAGAGGCGTGGCAAGCGCCATGTGGCAAATAGCAAGTGGCAGCTGGCAGCTGGCAGCTGGCAGGTGGCAGGTGGCAAGTGGCAGGCACAAAGGTGCAGACAGAGCGAAGCAACAAAGCTTTTGCTTATTGACATTAAAGATTCAATAATGGCCAACATATGGCAGCTGCCGGATTTGGCTGCCAAACTCATCAAACCCAACAAACAAAAAAAAATATATGGCAAATAGCCAAAAAGAAACTGGCAACAGGAGCTGCTTGTGGTCCAAGGCGTTCGACTGCAAAATACCCTGTGTTTAGCTAACCATCGAGCTGCTTAACTAGATGTGAATTGTTCAGATGGTTCAGCTGGATAAAACCATAATATATCTCTATCCAAATAGCTAAATATTCTTATAAGTATTTAAATATGGATCGTATGAACAATGTATTAAGAGTTGGAGCGAGGCATAGATAAACGAGACATTAATAGTTACATGAGCAACAAGATATTACAAATAAATAGATAAATGCATAGATAGACGAACAGAAAGATAAACTTATATATGATATAGATAATAATTTATTTATCAATCTATCTATCAAACTATCTATCTAATTTTCTCTCTATCTATATATTTATAGAGCCTCTATTCATCTATATATTCATTTATCTATTTATCTATCTATCTTATCAATCATCTTTCTATATATCAATATATCGATTCATCTATCGATATATGAATTTAGCAATATATCTTTCTACCATTCAATTGATCTATTTATCTATCTACCTATTGATATCCATTTATCCATCTGTCTATCTAACTATCTAAAGTCAGAGATACACTTCACAAAGAGAGCTCAGAGTGCAGATACGTCCGCCTGTTGCATAACAAATGTCCAATTGTATGCTAGGCGCTTTTGTCGTGCCCATGCGGACAGGGTATTTTTAAAGAAAGGCTTCCAATTATGTGCTAGCCTCTCAGACAAAGAAAAGAGGCGTGGTGTGGGGCGGGGGGGTCAGCTGGTAAGCCATTTGCCGGCTCGTTTGATGCTCAGGACACTCAGGTAAACAAATTACGTGCAGCATGTATAATCCGCCCGAAACCCACCCAAAAACAGAAGAAAATAAACACACACACACACACAAAATATAAATAAAAAATCAAATAAAATAAAACAAGATGAAAAGGCAAAGGGAAAAAAAAGTATCTCACAAATTGGGCGAGAAGCAACAGGCAAACAGCAATTGGCAGCAGAAGCATTCAAATCACAGTTGCAGTAACTTTTGCAAGACACACACACACACACACACACACGCACACACACACATACACAGGGCGGAGCAGCAGCCACAACAACTGGTTCAAGTGTCAAATGGCCGTGTGGAATTTCTCTCGCTGCTTTCCTCAGCTTCTCTCTTCCACACACTCTCTCTCCCTCTCTCTCTCTCTCTCTCTCTGTTTCGCCCTCACTCTCTCGCTCTGTCTCTCTTTCTGGTGAAATGAGAGCCGTGTCAGCAGGCGCACAGCAGCGGACAGCGTGAATGAATTGAGTACATGCGAGTGTTTCGAATGCATGAATGAGTGAATGAATGACCAGCAGCTCGTTGCCAGCTCCTGCACTCATTTGCACTTGAACTTAAAACGCGCCGCCTGCAAGTATGCAACGAAAACAAAAGAAAAGTAAAACAAAAAGACAGACAGACACTGCTGGCAGGGCACTAAATTCGAGACGATAATTGATACGCGGCGCATGGAAAACGCAAAAGCGCAGAAGCCAAACCCGCAAACAAACAAAGTTGAGTGTGGCACGAGTTGCCGCTGCCCCTGCCCCTGCTGCTGCTGCTGCTGCTGCTGCTGCGACTCATGTATGCCTCGATGCACGGTTATCCGGCTGCCGGGATGTCTGGCTGTCTGCTTGTCTGGATGTTGGGTTTACGGTCTTATGGGCTACGCTAGTGAAGCTTGCGGGCCAGCTGCAGCTGACAGGAGAAAAGGGGAGGGTGGGCGGTAGGGG